GACTCTGTTCAGAAAGATAAGGGTGCATGTGTTCATGTTTTAAACACCTTAATATGGACCTAAGTATGAAAACTTAACTTCTGCAGTGGAAAGTGTTAGCAGTGTTAGTATCACATACAATGATGTTAACTATAACATTTTCAAAAAGCATGTCTTGACTTTTCACATTTTCAAAATAAATGACTTAAAAATTTTTTTTTATGGTAGAACATCTTTTTAAAGAAAAAGTATTCCTGCCTATCTGTGCATGACTTTGCCATTTTTACATACATTTACCTCAATTTCTCAAGTACTATGTATTTTTAATAAAATGATATACTCTTAAGCTCCTAGTCACACAGTGCATGTTTATTAGAGTTGATTTGGCAGAGATTTTGCTTTTGGTTAGTCCAAGTATATTTACATTTTTAAAGACAACTATGGGCATACTTTCTGACTAATAATAGACTTTATAAGCAGTTACCTATCTCATTTTGTTTAGAATGGTTTTCTTTACCTTGGCACTGGCAATTTGAATGGGCGATTTTTTTTTTTTTTTTTTTTTGGTTCAGGTGTCCTGTGCATGTAGGATATTTAGCAGCATCCTTGGCTTTTAACCACTAGTTGCCAAGGATACTCTTTCCCCCTTTATATGTGACATCTCCAAATATTGCCAGGTGTCCCCTGGTGAGCAAAATTGCCCCAAGTTGAGAACCACAGATTTTAAAATAAAAACTACATTTTCTTCTATGAGGAAACTTCTTTCGTTTTTGTACATATATTTGTTATAATTAACCAATCTCTCTGGACAAATAAAGTCTTACAAGAGAAGTATCTGTTAACCTTTTTTTTTCTTCTGTTAACCTTTCAATTACACATTTGAAACCCAAGAATGGAATGAGACAAAACTTACTAAAAGCCGAGTCTCATGAAGTAAATGAGTCTTTTTGGTTAAGTTAGCTTGTCTTTTAATTGTTGTAGAAAAAACAGCAAGGATAGTCTCTTGATTAAAATCGTTGAACATAAAAGAAAAATTAACTCCTTCAGGTCATTTTTGGTAAAAGGTAGGTTGGAGGGAGGCAGCAGTAACTTCATTTTCTACATAAGGAATAATGTTTAAAAACTTCGCTATTTTGAAATGCTTCTGTTGAAAATGGTAGATTATTATATGCTTTGCCATTTTAAGCAATATTGTAACGTGTCAGGGGCATCATCCTAAATACTGCTTCTCATTGTCAGTAGTTATGGGATCGGGCTGAGTTTCCAAAGCCACCCCTGAGGAGTTGCCTTTCCAAACAAACCCCTCTTATGCTGGCTTTTGCTGCCATTTGTTTCTTTCCTAAAACACTGAAATAGAGGTGAAAAAACCCAGTCCATTCCAAGGCATCCTCTTCCCAGCTATCTCACTGGGGCACTGTTTTCTGGCTTGTTTACCAAGCAGCTGGTTAGAACTGATTTGGGAGTAGAGCTGGGTGGCTCAAGTCGGGCATGGATGGGCAAAGAGGCCAAACTGGGAAAAAGTTCACATTTGGGCTGCTGTCCTGTGTATTTATGAAACATTGATTCTACTCTTTCCTAATGATTCACACACACAGCTTCAGTTCCCCAAAAGAACTCTTTTCTGCTCTTTGGTGCAGCAAATTATGAAAACAGAGATTTTAAAGCACCTAAAGGATCAGTGACTGGCTGCAAGTCATATTTAAGACCAGGCTTTTGATAAACCTTTTGAGTGGTAACTTAGAAATGGCAAGAAAAAGTTTCTCCGTGTTAATGACCCATTGTGGTTAACTGTTCACACTGTCATTGCAGTTTTAGACATGGAAGAAGCCTGTCACTCTGGAAGGATCTGAAACTATTGCAGTGATAAAAAATTGTACTCATTGTTTAAGGCACTCTGTACCGTGGCACTCAAATATTGACTGACACAGATTCACAATCAAGCTCTAATTTCTGAAAACAATATAGCTCACCTTGTACATATTAAGCAAATATCTCCCTGCATTTGGGGGAAAATAAACCCTAGAAATTATGCTTAATTCTAGCATGATTTAGGAGGAAAGAGGCAGCCTCTGCCTAGGCTTGTTCAAGCATAATAATGGCAGTGTGACCATACTGTCTCGTCCCTGGGAACCCCCTGGAATCCATTATTTATGTAGTGACCGCTATAAGTGAGTGACCCCTATAAGACACCCCCAGAGTGTGAAGCCCAAACTCAGGAGCTCTCGTCCAGCAACTGAGACCACAGCAGAGTGCTATCCCCTCAGAGCCAGCCTGGGCTGCATCTGAAAACCACACCCTCAGTCCTAACTTGCTTACATTTGCTGTATTTTAATTTTACAAAGTACTTTTGTTACTGACTAGGGTTCTTGGCCTCCTTAATCAGTAGAAGTTGACAAGAGGCCAAACTTGGGCAAGGCTTTTGGGGGCTCCTACTGCAGCAGGAGGGAACAGAAACAATTAGGTTCCCTTGCTCACTCCCTGAGGAGGGGTGAGCTGGCTCCTTAAATGGGGTGAGGGCAGGGGTGGATGCAGGGGTTAGGCCAGAGGGATGGCGTAGGTGGTCTGCCCACACCCTTGGCAGTGCTGTGTGGGTTTTTGCTCTTTTTGTATCTTGTTCATAAGTTGCCCCACTGTCCATTTATGTAGTTATTTTTAGTCCCTTACATATACATATATATATATATTTTTCTTTTTTTGGTTACTTTGTTGCTCCAGGAGACGTTTGCCTAGGTGCAAGCACTACAGCAAAGAGCCCCAGACCCCAGCCTATAAGTCACTTTCACAAGGTCTTATTTTATGACAACCTCTCAGGGACATTTACACACCATTGCCTAGAAACAGAAATTTTCATGTCTACAGATCCACAGTCTGCATGCTTTGATATAGGAAACTGCTCAGATAACAGAATGGGGAGGATAAAGACTAAAGTTCATGACTTGTCAGGGAGTTTGAGTTGTAACATTCAGATATGGAACTCCAAAAGGAAGAAGACAAAGCTAATGTTTTATCAACCTGACCACATCCCTAAGTGTTGAGCTATTTCCATGTTGGACAAAACAGCAGTGTGGCCTAATTTTGTAGCAAGAATTTCATTTAATATTGTTCCCAAATGAGATTCCTGTAAAATGAATATTTGAGAAATCATTTACAGACTTCTCCATAAAATTAACATTAAAAGCTGACCATCTTATTAGTGCTTGGAAATCCAGTTTCACCTTGAGATACTACTGCATCCTGACTTGAATCACAAAGAATCCAATTTCATTTCTTATTTCAAAATTGTAATGATGAGCTTAAGAAATTTAGTTTGAGGTGAGGATTTTCTTATGAATGCCTTCAGTTAAGGCTTTCCAAACTTTTTCAGTCTGGCACATCTAGAGATCAATAGGATTTATGGGTTTTTTTTTTTTTTAATATAGTTAATTTATTGTTTCAAATTACAGCAAAGTGATTCAGTTATACATATATTGAATATACTTCTTCATTCTTTTTATTACAAGATATTGAATATAGTTCCCTGTGCCGTACAGCAGGTCCTTGTTAACCTATTTTATACATAGTAGTATGTACATGTTAATCCCAAAATCTTAATTTCTTTCCCATCTCTCTGCCTCCCACCCTGCTATACCCTTTGATAACCATAAGTTTTCTATGCCTGTGAGTCTATTTCTGTTTTGTAAAGAAGTTTGAATCACTTTTTTTTTTTAGATTATACATAAGTGATATCATATATGCCAGGGGCCCCCAACCTCCAGGATTTAATTCCTGATGATCTAAGGTGGGGCTGATATGCTTGAATCATCCCCAAACCATTCCCCCCAGTCAAGTCTGTGGAAAAGTTGTCTTCCATCAAACTGGTCCCTAGTGCCAAAAAGGTTGGGGACCACTGATATATGTGACCATTTGGACAGTCTAGGAGGTTTCCTGCAAACTTAAAATAATAGCTTGAAAGGTGAACATCCTTCACTGAGGTGTTTTTGTTGAGTCAGTGTGAATTCCGTCTGTAGTGGGAAACCTGTAGTAACTCTACCTGAGGGCTACACATACAAGAATACGTCTTCCACTCATTTTTCTGAAATTCTTCTTGGACACTGAAAACTATCTAGCCAAGGTAAATGTATTCATATTTTTTTCAAAATGCGAGTGCCACATTAACCTAAGTGGTGACTGAAAATAAGCACTCTCATAGAAGGTATTTTTATGGCTGTAAATTTGACACTAGCAAGGCAACTTTCTCCATGAACCTGAACCATGCCAACTATGTTCTGAGAATACCATTAGAATTTCCCTTCTGGTAATGTGACATGTGGCCCTTAGATCTGAGCGAGTTCAAAAGACAGAGTAAGACTCATAAATGGAAAACCCAAAAGAGAATGAAAACACCCAGGTTGTTCTGCTTTTAAGAATAAGAGTGTTACTGATAAAACCAGCTCACATTTTAATAACAAATAACTCAACTTTTTTTAAGCTGAATTTTAATGAGTAAAAATAAATCCCTCACAAATGAAGTTTACATAATGACCTATGGCTGAAAATGAAGTTCTAATTTTTCTTGCTCACATGATTTTTTCCCTTCTCTGTTCTGATTTCTCTCAGTTGAGCTTTTATGGCAGAAAAAAACAACTGGTATTTCTCCTCATGCCCCCTTATCTCACTCTAATAAAAAGCAGGAAAAAAACAGAGATTAAAACAACTGTATTAAACGTTCACTTTTGTGTTATCAGATGCATTTCATTCATTCCAGGGCAGTCAGAGAGAAAAAAAAAACAGGCAGTTGGTTTTTAAGCTGTCTCACATTGACACTCCCAACTGTGCCAGGAGTGCCCACTGCTTGGTTAGCAATACTCAGTCTGGAAAATGGCCCCAAAGGTGTGCGTGGCTGCGGCTGACTCAGCAGAGCCTGCCCTGGTGGGCTCCTTCCCCAGGGCAGCCCCCTTGCGCTGCAGCTGGATGTAGAAGGGCTGGTATCAGTTCCCAGCTGAGCAAGCAGGTGAGGAGCGAGCACTCGCCGTGACAGGTCTTTACTGTGTGGTGACAAGTTTCACAATCATGCTGATGATCCGTGACCCTCGAGGACAGGTGCACAGATCTATGCTTGGGTTTTTTATCTTATCCTGGAGGAGCTGGTCAAGTTCACAACGAAGTTCCTTTACTAATTCAGCCACCTAAAATGAAAGTTGCGATGTAAGCAGTGCTTGGACCACCAGGGGAGGAAATGTGGTTAAAGGAAATTCTCCAGTTGTGATGATCATTGTTCTAGGTCTCTGCTATTAATTCCACGGGGGGAGAAAGAAACACTTTTTTCCTTGTAAAAGTGCTTCTAAAGTTTCTTGATGCAATTATAGGAACATACAGCTCTGTAGTGTACTAACTGGGGGACCATTATAAAAAGGCTCCTCTGTCACATCTCAAAGAAAAGATTAAATCCAGAAATGGCTTTTATGCAGTGTTCTGCATGTTAAAGCTTGGTCAGCTTTTTTTTTTTTTTTTCAAAGGTTTAAAGATTTTATTTGAGAAGAATGCCATTCTAAATATCAAAATCACTATATTGGATACAACTAAAGAGACGTACTATTAACTCATTACTGTTAAATGTTTGGAAAAATTCTATTTTACGCTTAATTTTAAACTTGGTCAGCTTTTACAATTAGCTCCGAGAGGAGAAGCAGGAAAATGGAGAATTAAAAATGGTGGACATTAAACCAAAAACTCTCTTTAACTTTGGAATTTTTATGCATTGGTTGGTGAGGAGGTGGAGTGGGAGGCAGCACCACATTGCTTGTGTGATGCAGTGCCACTGTGGATGTCTTACCAACATCTGTCTGGCTCCTCCTCCACCATGTGGCGGCCCTGGAGTAGACACTCTGATCTAATCACATAGGCTCATGCCATGCACCAGAGTGAACGGTTCAGGGGATTCAGGCCTTAGAGGCCATGACATTCTTCAGTGACAGGAACTGGTTTAGAAGAAGAGGTATGCATTCAGGAAAGCAGCATTCCATCTCCACTCTGGGGCAGTATGTGCTGCATGGACATGAGGCAGTAGCTACAGCCATCCTATACCAGGGGCCAGTCAGGCTTTTCTCGTTAAACAGTTGAATCAAACCAACCCTGCCTGGCCCTCGTGACCTGTACTGTCCCATGTGGCTAATCTCATGGCACATGAAATGTGCCTGGTCTAAACTGAGATGTACTGTGATTATAAAATACATACCAGATTTTGAAGACTTAGTATGAAAAAGAATATAAAAATCTCAATTTTTTATATTGATTACATGATATAATGAAAACTTTTTAATGTTTTATGCTATATAAAATACATCAAAATTAATTTCACCTATTTACTTTTTTAAAATGTGGCTACTAGAAAAATTATTAGGTATGTGCACATATATTTTTCCTAGACAGTGCTGCGTTAGACTTTAAAGGGAATTCATTGGTGTATTTCACTGTAATGTCTGAATTGGTATTTCTGCCCCCTGCAATAGAAGATTAGAAGATTTCCAACAGATGCAAATGTTAAAATTTTTTCTTGAATATACTCTCCCTTAAATGTTTTCTCGAGACTCCATATACTAATTTGATACCTGAGAATAAAAACATTTAGACCCATTATCTTTTTTTTTTTTTAATGGTGGCTGTGGAATCAGGGTAATTTTTACTTACTTCTGCTCATCTGTGTTTTCTTTGAATCTGCATTTCTATTACAGAAAGCTCCGACACCTCACTCACGGCTTCTGTCCTCTCGCACCACTGCCCTGGGCTCTCCCTCCCGGTGCACGTCTTCAGCCCTTACCACAGCTCCACCCTGGCCGTGCTGCAGCCTCAGTCTTGCTCAGTGTCCCCTGCACACGCGTCATTCACTCTAACTCAGCCCTGTCGTCCTTGTTCCCTGAATGAATGCCCTGTACTCCATATTACCAGAGCCCCATCCCTTACCTGATGGGAAGCGGCTGCAAAGCGGATCCAACCATCATCCAAGGAAACAACAAACTCTCCCTTTTGGAGCTGCACATTCACCTGGCCTCCTCCAAACAAGACCAGTGGGTACACAGACACCATGCTGCAGTCTCGGATGAACACGCGACTCGTTTTGATCTTCTCGTGGTACACCAGGTAGGGACTGTCAAAGTGTCTGACCTGGAACATGACAGTGATGTCACTGGCGACATACGCAGAATCCCACCAGCCCTGGGGATTTACCTGTCACCTGTCCAGTGACCCCCCAAATGACCGCCAGCCTATAACTTCCCCTCAGCTCTAGCCTTGTACTTGCAGCTGCCTACTGGATGTCTGCACCTGGACAGCTAACAAGTATCTTGGACTGCTTATGTTCAAGGGAACTCTCCATTTTCCCATGCTTGTCGGGTTCACTATCTCAGTGAGTGAGACTGCCATTCACCCAGTTGCTCAAGCCCCAAATTTAGAAGCATTCTTGATTGCTTTCTCTCCCTCACTCTAGCTCTATCATCACTAAGTCCTGATGGTTCTATTTTCAAAATACACAATGAACTGACAGTCTCTCCACTTCTGCAGCGGCTTCCTATGTACTTGCCCCTTTGCATCCTCGCAGTTTCTTTTCCATACGGTGGCCACAGTGACCTTTTAAAAACCAGGTAGGGCTCAAAACCCTCCAGAGATTTCCCAAGGATAAAATCTTAGATCTTTACTGTGGACTACAAGGTCCTACACGACCTGATCGCTGCCTGCTTATCCCAACTCTTCTGTCACCGCCACTCCTAACCTTCCCCCTCATTTGCACTGGTTGCCTTCTTGCATTTGCCGGAACACACCAAATGTGCTCTCATCTCATGGTCTTTGCATTTATTTCCCCGGCTTGGAATGTTTTCTTTTTAGATACCTGCATGACTTGCCCTTTACTTCATTTAGGACCTGTCCAATTATTTCTCCTCAGAGTTCTTCCCTGACCACACTATATAAAACAGCTCCTCTTCAGAGGGGGAGGGATAAATTAGGAATATGAGATTAATAGATACCACTGTATGTAAAAGATAAACAAGGATTTACTGTACAACACAGGGAACTATAGTCAATATATGTAGTAACCTATAACATAAATGAATCTGAAGGTATATACCTTATTTACAGTATTGTGTTAATTTCAACTATAGTTAAAAAAACCCCTCTCCTGTCACTCTCAATCTCTTATGGTTTTATTTTCTAAAATCTGTCATTAACCTAAGATTGTTTACTTATTTCTTGCCTTACAGAACGTAAGCTCCCTGAGGGCAGAGACCGTGTCTCCCTAGCTCATCTGCTGTCCTCCATGGCCTACAACAGTGCCTGGCACAGAGGTGGTGGCAGGTACTGATTGGATGCATGGATGACTTAGATTTACTGCAGAAATGTCATGGTAATCTCAGGAGAGGAGTGGAGATAACTTGGGCCCCTGGTTGCTAAGTACACATGCAGTGGAGAGGGCAGATGATCTCCTAGTCCTCAGACTCTTCTGAGCTTAAGGAGATGTTTTTCATGCTTTGTTGACACTTCATTTAGTAGTTCCAGGGGTTGACCAGCCCTCACACTTCAAACTCTCTTCATTCTCTTTTCCTCCATCTCTTTATCAAGATGAACCTTTGCTGAACATCTGCCTTCATGCTGGCGAGGCACTGTGCTAGACACTGAGAATGTGGAAATAAATAAAATTCAATTCCTGTCTTCAGGAATTTCAAAAGTCTATGAATGAGACATACCATAAACCATAAAAGAATGTGATAAATGCAACAGTAGAAGAACGCTTACTATACAGTGGTGGAACAGGAGGAAGGAGCAACTTGGAGAGGAGCACTGGACTTGAAGGATAATGAGCCTGCTGGGGAATGAGAATGCCACTCCAGGCACAGAGAACAGTGCGTCCTGTGTCATGGCTCTGGGAGATACTGTCGGTGGTCTGGTGTTGCCTGGCGCATAAAGAATGACAGAGGGACCTGGGGCGGGGGGACGTGGTCTAAGAAGGGGCGAGATGTGAAAGGTTATAGGAGAGTTTACAGTAGACTCCACATACAAAGAGACTCCACAGACGAAGAGTTTAAAACAACGGTATGACATGAACAAAGGTGTGTTTTGCAAAGGTGGGCTTCCCTGGTGACTCAGGCGGTAAAGAATCTGCCTGCAGTGCAGGAGACCTGGAGTCCAAAAGACCCCTGGAGAAGGGAATGGCAGCCCACTCCAGTATTCTTGCCTGGAGAATCCCATGGACAGAGGAGCCTGGTGGGCTAAGAGCCTGCGGTCCAAGAGGCCACAAAGAGGTGGACATGCCTGAGTGACTAACACTCACGACAGGATCAGAGGTGTGCTTTGTAGAGGTGACTCTGGAAGCAGCAGTATAAAGGGTTAGAGAGCAAGCACCAGAAGTAAGATTAGTACTTCAGGCAAGAGACAGATGTCTGGGGTCTGATCTGAGGAAATGGCAGCAGGGACAAGAGAAGTGGGCAAATCTGAGATATGTCAAAAAGGTGGAATTGTTGGGACCTGGTGACCAATTAGATTAGCACAGGAGAAAAGAAGCAGGGTTTATGTGACTCCAGAGTTCCAATTTGGTACCATTTCACCAAGCGAGGGAACAGAGAGGAGTGAATTCAGAGATAATGAGTTTGGTTTTGCAGGTTTTGAGTTTGAGGCAACAAAAAGGCACCTAGATGGTGATTTCTAGCAAGAAGTCAAAGAAAAAACCAAGGATGGGAGACATCTGGAGTTTGTGTCAACATGTAGGTGGCAGTTAGAACTACGATGGTGTGCTCTGGTGGTTCAGGAAGATTATGTGCCCTGCAGTAAGAACATAAGGACAGGGACAGAACCATGATTTCAGAGCAAGGGAGGAGAATCTAGTAAAGGAGCTATAAGGGGATGATCAGAGAGACAGAAGTAATATTTCAGAAGCAAAAAACATTAAAGATAGTGTCAAGAGGTAGGGAGGTCAGCAGTGTCATATACTACATGAGTCAAAATGATGAGAAGCCGGAAATTTGTTCCCAAGATTTGACAACTTTCAAGTTATTCATGACTTCTGATGAATTTACTGGGGTGATGGGAGCAGAAGCCGCCCAGCAAGAGGCTGAAGGAAGAGTGAGAGCTGAGAAGGCTGGATCAGAGTATAGGTCAAGGCCTCTTAAGGCACACAGATGGAGGCACAGGATTACATCACAACCTCTTAAGTCACTTCTGCAAAGAAATAATTTTGTATCTGAAAGCAGGCTTAATAGTTCAATTTCTAGCACATCTGTGCTTATTCAACCTTTCCCAAGTCAGCACCTAAGGACAGCAAGTGATAGAACAAAGTGTGGTGAATTAAGGGACTGTTTCTCACCCCAGGACCTGCCACATGTAAAAACAGCTGACCCTTGAACAAACAGGCTTTGAACCATGTGCATCCACTTACACTCGATCTTTTCGTAGCTAGTACTACAGTACTACACAATCTGTGTTGGTTGAATCTGTGGACTTGCAAGCTGACTGTAAGTTTACCCAGCCATCCTGACCTGATAGTTCACCGATGAAGGGTGAATGTGTACATATCCATCGTTCTTGGTGACAAACTTCAGCTCATCTGATTTTGGCTGCATTCTGACAGCTCCAGTACTGGTCTTCTGAAATTTCCCCTCTGGGCTTTTCACCTAAACAATACATAGTTATAAGAAAAAAAATATATATGTATTTCCATTGTAGGGTATATTCAGACACAAAACCAATCTTGTTTGAATGCCTTTGCTGCATCTTCCCTCTTAGTTTCCCTTTGAAAGCAGTATAAGCACACTTGCTTTGTTTCTTTTAACCATGAAGAAGTGTGGATATGAGTGCAGTAGTCCTGGGTGACTGTACTGCACACCAGCCACATGGGGGCGACCATGCTGATGTTCCAGGTGTGCCCTGAGGATCGGGGAAAGAGATCCTGCTGGCAACACTGGCCAGGAATCTGCTGACACTTCCAGTACCAGTCCAATACTTCCAAATGAATTTTTCAAAACAGTAAAAAAAAAAAAAAAGAAAACTCTATGAATGAATAGATTGTTTCACTTGAAACAACTGAAAAGCTTATGTGCACACACATACCCCATATTTACTGTAGAAAGTAACAGTACTGTGTAACACAGGGAACAATATTCAATTCTTATAATAACCTATAATGGAAAATAGTCTGAAAAAATATATATAACTGAATCACTGTTCTAAAACACAATACTGTTAATCAACTACACTTCAATAAAATATATATATACACTAGGAAAAATCTCTCGTAATCTCATGATTAAGAAATAACTATTTGAGAAACACTTCAGTTTTCTATTAGATTTTTATAATATAGAAATGGAGGCAAACAAATGATATAAGATATATACCAAAACTAATATAGAATCATTTTCCATATTTTCCTAAAACATAATTCTAAATTAGCACCTCACTGTAATGACATATAATAATTTAACCAATAAATTCCCTATTATTAGAGTTTTAGATCATTCATTCTAGTGCTGTTTATAATTGCAAACATTCTCCCAGCTGTATCTTTACATAAATATGCAATTATTTTCTAATAATAAATCCTTAGAAACAAAACTGCTATCTAGAAAGGGTGTATCAATTTATACTCTTACCAAGAGTAGAAACATTCATTTAAAAAAAATTGGCAAATCACAATCACCCAAAGTCCACAGTTTATGTTAGGGTTCACTTTTTTTGTTGTATATTCCAAGGGTTTGGACAAGTGTGATACGTATCTATCATTATGGTATCATGCACAGTATTTTTACTGCCCTAAAAATCTTCTGTGTTCTGCTTATTCATCCCATCCACCCCTGATGTTTTAATTGTCTCCATTGCTTTTACTTTAAAAAAATCATTTGGAGAAGTTGAAAATGGTTTCAAAAGCATGCAAGCACTAAGCAAAACTGAGCCATAAATGAATTGACAGATGTCAACTGAGTATATAACAAAAAGTTAAATGAGATGTGCTTCAGTACTCTAACAAATTCACATTCTAAGTTTGACAGGGACGAGATGATCAAACCTCAAATAAAAGTCCAACAGTCCATTCAGGAATGGTTTCCAGAAGAGATCACAGATGTCCCATGGCAAAGCACTGACTTAATTTTGTTCTTATCTAATTTTAGTCCAGAGTAGACAGCATAATGGGAGTTGTAGCAGAATCAAATTTCGACTTAACCCTAGGTTAGTTATGCACAGACTGGCTGACAGTGACATTTATGCCCATTTTGATTTCTGGAATGTCATGTCAGAAGGATTAAAAAGGCACCTTCATTTATATAATGAATGTGTTCTTAAAGATTCTATATCTAAACACATTTGGGGAATTGAAGGGTTGGAAATATAAACTAAGTCTAAAAGGCTGTGTGTGTGTGTATCTTTAGATGATTAATGTGAGTGTCTTAACTTATGTCTCTTGGCTACAAATCCAACAAACAAGAAGTGGGAGGACCAGGAAAACATTGTTACCTGCACTACGTTTGGATACAGAGCAGCACACAGCATTGCTGATATCAACTTGGGGTTCTCAGCGTTTGAGTTTGCCTGTGAGAGAAATACAGCGTTAATCTTATAAATAATGTGGCTATTTCCGACTGTGCCTTGGAATTTACTATTATATTTCTTTTGACTTCTATCTTAAAAGCATCTAAAAAATGGACTACATTCACACAGGATCCATTCCAAGAAGCCCACAATTACTTTCAAGATCTCTGCAAAGCAGTTATAAAAACAGTGTTCCTAAGGATCAGTGGAGAGAAAGATTCTGGTTTGTGAAATTTCCAGAAAGTATTAACTGCACTAAGAGTGACATCAGGTTCATCTTGAATTGTTCTTCCTATAGTTAAATATAAAACTATCCTTGGTTTGAAAAAGGCTGGTCTGATTAAGAAGACATTACTGGAAAGTCTGCTCTATCTCTGATGGACTCACCAAAAATAAATGTAAATAAAAAACAGAAGCAACAAGCAGCAGAAAAACCCTTGTTTTTATGAGTGTTAGTTGACATTTGTGGAAAGAAGAAAATCAAGAATGCCACTAACCTATTGCTCCTAGGGCTTAAGGGAAGAAGGCCTACAGGTATTCCTCGGGTAATAGATTAAGTATATGATCATTAAAGAGAAATAAGAGCTAGCTGCATACATTTTACCTCTTCTCCTGTGGCATCCAATATACCATCTCCTCCTCCTTGGGCCCTTTTCTCAATTTCCCTTGCTCGGAGTCCCTCCTTAACAAAGCCTATGTCCGATAACAGTTCAGTGAACTGTCGTTTCAGGCTTGCCATTTCCTGAAACAAGTGGAGAAAGTCTTGAAGCAGAGACACTGACACATTAAAGGCAAGAATGACTACAAAAATGAATTACTTCAGTGGACAGTGGACTCATGGGTTTACTAGGCAAGTATGAAGAATATCTTGTCTGTTCATTCCCAGAAGGGCAGTTTTCACTTCAGACAGCGTAAAACTGTTACACAGAAATTCACAAAGTTCAGAAAATCCAAAGATCATTTAATTGTAAATTATGTTTTTAAAAAAAATTGGATTTTGCACAGGTCTGATTTTTTTCTGGCAACACTTAGGACAGCCAGAAATGTAGTTTACTGTGTTTGGAACCCTACTCAAGGTGCTGTGACCCTGTTCATTTTTCCTACTTCCTTTCTGCTGGGGTCCTTATAGTGCCTTCTCTGAGCTTAAAGTGGTTGGCATTCTTTCTCAATGGATGCAGAATACCCACCTCAGAAATCTTCCCTTTCTCTTACCCTGTGGACTTGCTGGCTCACATTTTCCCCTGGGAATAGGAATACTATTAAGTGGTTTAGATTTACACACCCATTCTGTAGCTGAGCACAAGTGTGAGAATGAAAAACACAAACCTCTTTTTGGCTTCTGTTCAAATACTGGCTATCAGACAACACAAAAGCAGATGACACCAATCAAAGGAATGGAGAGCTAAGCGATAGTCTCTGATGACAGTTGAAGTGTTTTCTTGGATTGTCTCAAGTACAGATGGATAACACGGCAAAAATACAACTGGGATTCAAATATCCCAGAGTTCTTTTTTTTTTTTAATCTTAGTTGTTGTTTTTTATTTTTTTTTTTCAGTTTTATTTATTTACTCATTTTTTTACTTTATGATATTGTATTGGTTTTGCCATACATTGACATGAATCCACCATGGGTGTACATGTGTATTTCATGACAAGCTTTCATTAATATCTTATTAAACTAATTCTATACTCTAAGCTGGAATGTAGTGAAAAGAGGTGATGGATGAACCTCATAGATCACTGAAAAATCTAAATACAGCCTAAGGAAAAAGATTACATTTAGTAAATATATATATATATAAATATAATTTAAAAGATATTTTTTACACTTAAAAGTCTTAAGGACTCAAGGAAATATTATTGCACTTTACATATAAAATACCTTTAGACCAGTGGTTCTCAACCCTTGCAGCATATGAGAATGACTTGTTGAATTCACAACAAGAATAAACAGATAGATGCTCAGGCCCTACCCCTAGAGATTCAGATGTAACTGGCCTGGGATGGAATTTGGGCATTTTGCATTTTTTTTTTAAGCTTCCTCAGGTGAATCTAATGTGTGGCCATGATTGAAAATCACTGCTTTTGTTATACTTAGATTAAAGCCAGAGCCTCTGTCTTCTCCAAATGTCTCTTTGTAGTATACCTAAAGACAGAGAAGGAGGAAGGCAAATACTGGGATGGTTTTGAGGTCTTTTACGTCACTATCAATAAACAAACTCATTCATTCATGCATTCAATGAATTTTACCAGGCATAAACTATGTTCTAAGTACTCTTCTAGGCACTGGGGATATAAAACTGAAGAAAACATAAAATGTCTGCTCTGACAGTTCTTATGGGGTAGAGAGGTAACTAGTTGTCAGGTATGAACATTAGTTTTGTGTTCTATTCCAAAACATCATCTAATATGGAAAGAAAGTCCTTCCACCTCCCTACCCTCAAAATTTGAGTGAAATGGAGGCTCTATAAATACATACACCGTTATTATTCTGGATTTTCATGCTACTATGGAAAGGGGCCCAAAATATTGTCACAACAGAAGACAGAGCCCTGTCTATTATTACACAGAAGATAATAAACCTTTCTCATGTACTCGTTATTGACATAGTAGCCTCTGATGGACAAAAGAATTAATAAAGAAAATCTGGTTCACTATTTGTTCTTTGGTTTTAGGGAGAAGGTAAGGGGCTTGGGGATGGTCACAGATCCCTTGAGACTCGATGAAAGCTATGTTCTCTTTGTCCAGGATAGTGCATGTATGTGTAAGGGCATGACTTTGCAAACAATTTCAGAGGGTTATGGATCCAGGTTAAGGATGTTTGGTATCATCACTGAAAAAAGTGACTTCTAGTAAGCAGTAATCTTCAGAATGGCTACATTCCCATAGCCTCCATGTAAGTTAAACACAGATTCACTGAGAAGAGGAAAAATGGGTGAATTGAAAGGTTCAGCACAGAAGGCCTGATGTCATAGGCCAGGAGTCTGTTTTACACAGCTGGTGAAGCCAAGCATATTCCAGAAATAATATTTTCAATGTCCAGGTAGGACAAGCAAGATAAAGTTGCAGCACCCCCTGGTGCACTACTACAGTAAATGAATGAAAACAAATTTCCACAGAAACAACTCACCTGAAGAACTCTTCCTGACAAGAAGTTTTGTCTGCAGTAATTATAACTTGCACGCATACCTTCTTTCATACTTAGTTGCCATCCCTAAATTTTGGAGAAAATCAAAATGTTATTCTGTCTTTAGTGCCAACTCTGGTAATAAACCTCAGCTATTAGCTTATATACTTACCTTATATGCTCGTAGAAGGGCCAGATAATCACTGTTTGCAAATGCAAATTCTAGCTTTTTCTGGTTAGCTTCCTCTTTTTTGTCCCAGGGAGATACCTAAAGGAAGAAAGCCAGGTTTGAAGGACACATTTTATCCAAGGTTTCAAGTGGCACTTTGCTACCACTGAAGTCAGGTGCTTGGGAAGTGCGTTGTGTGGGTCAGAGTACAAAGTGGGTGACTGGTTAAAAGTAATTATGGTGGTTAAGTGCCAAGCCAACAGTCCTAATTGTCTGTGTGAGTCCATCTGCCCACTCAAAATAACCTCTATTGGATCTTTTACTTCCTAGTGGCAAGATGTCAAAGAGCTACTCACTCTAAAAGCTACATCTAAAACCCAAGATTCTGTTAACTCTGTGATATCTTCATTTTACAGACTCTTTTTCATCTTTTATACTTAAGTCTCCCCTATTTCTATAGCCATAATTCATGCTTTTTCCTCTTAAAAATACAGGTTCTCCTTTTCCCTAGAAATTAGTGACATTAACTGAGAACTTAATTTTCACTGCCTTCTTTCACTATAATATACACATGTATCAATATAAGGTACACATGTATCAATACTAAAGATACCAGCACGTTACACTGAGGCCCTAGTATCACACTGAAAGTCATTCTAAACCAACTACGGTGCTTCTTTATAAATCTGTATATCTGCACACCTTTATAGCTAACAATAATATTAAAATTTTATTTATTTCTACTTGAAAATACAATTTCTTCTGTTTTAGGAAGGCTAGTGGGGAAAGGATTACATTTGGGAATTAACATTATGCTTACAGAACCCAGCAAAGGACAGGTGTTCAGTTTTGGCTAAGGGTGACACCAGTATTTCTAATGAACAATTTCTATATTCCAGTAAAAGAAAACAGACAATGAGAGGTTATTTAGATTATGTGAGAATAGGCAGTGGAGGTCTTGCTCACATCAATACTGACTGTATGTTGCTGAGTAAGCTATATCACCTAGTCTGGTCCTTGGTTTTGTTATCTGTTGTTAAATGAAGGGGCTGAACTAAGATCTTTTTGTAGATCTGTGAGTTTACAATTCCATATATATGTATATATATATATTACATTATATATATATACATATATATATATATTGTTATTCCAAGTATAACATTAAAACTGAAGAAATTATTACATCTATCTATTCCCCTATCTATCTGAGATAAGCCCTGGTGAAAATAAAGGCAGAGTGACACTCTACGCAATAACAGCTGAATATTCATTCTGAAGTCTACATGGGATATTTTCCATGATAGAGCATATGCTTAGCCATAAAACAAAGATCATAATAAGTTTTAAAGGACTAAAATAATAAAAAGTATATTCTCTGACCAGAACAGAATGAAATTAGAAGTCAATAACAGGAAAAAATTGGGAAACTCATAGATGCATGGACATTAAACAACACATGCCTAAATAACCAATGAGTCATAGAAGAACTGAAAAGGGAAATTAGAAAATACTTGAAATGAATGAAAATGAAGACACAACATACCAAAACTTATGGGATGCAGCTAAAGCCGTCCGTAGAAGAAAATTTATAGCTGTATATGTCTATATTAAAAAAGAAGAAAGATCTCAAATCAATAACCTAACCTTTCACTTTAAGACACCGGGAAATGAACTAAAACTGAAACAAATAGAAGAAAATAAATCACAGAAATTAATAAAATAGAGAACAGAAAAACAGTAGGGAAAAATCAATGAAATCAAAAGCCGGTTCTCTGAAAAGATCAACAAAATTGACAAACCTTTAGGCAAGCTGATCAAGAAGAAGAGAGAAGGCTCAAATTACTAGAATCAGAAATGAAGAGGGACATTACTACCAAGCTCTCAGAAATAAAAAGGACTTTAAAATACTATGAATGTATATTAATAAGGTAATTTAGCTGAAATGGACAAATTCCTAGAAAAATGCAAATGACTCAAAAAGACTCACCTATAACAAGTGAAGAAGCTGAATTATTAAAAAAACTAACCACAAAGAAAAGCCCAGGTGACTTCACCACTGAATTATACCAAGCATTTAAAGTATTAATTCCTCACAAAATCTTTAAAAAAAAAACAAAACGGTTAGCAAGAACACTTCCCAAATTATTATGTGGCCAGTATTACTCTGACAGCAAAGCCAGACAAAGACATCACAAGGAAGGAATACTACAGACCAGCATCTCTCATAAATGTGATGTAAAAATCCTCAAAACACTAACAAAGAGCAAAGTGGGAGGACTCATACTTCCTGATTTCAAAACTTACTACAAAACTATTCCAGTTTTGTATTTTGAACCAAGATAGTGTGAAACTGGCATAAGTAGACATATAATTCAATGGAATAGAATTGAGAATTCAGAAATAGAACCATGTATTTATGGTTAATTGATTTTTTACAAGATGCAAAGACCATCCAATGGGGAAAGAACAGCCTTTTTAACAAATGGTGATGGGACAACTGGATAGTCACATGCAGAAGAATGAAGTTGGACTCTTACTTCACGTTATGTACAAAAGCTAACCCAAAATGGAGCAAAAACCATAATGTAAGAGCTAAAACTACAGAACTTTTAGGAAAAAATATACAGATACATTTTCATTACTCTGGATTTGGCAATGAATTTTTAACCATTACAGCAACAGTTTGAGCAACAAAAAACTAAATAAACTGGAATTCATAAAAATAAAAAATTTTGTATTTCAAAGAACAGATCAAGAAAGTGAAAAAGGCAAACCACAGTACAGGAGAAAACATTTGCACATCACATATCTCTTAAGGAACTTATATCCAGAATATATAAAGAATGCTTAGAATTCAATAATAAAAGGACAAATAACCCAATTAAAAAATGGGCAAACTATCTGAATAGACATTTCTTGTCAGATATACAAACGGACAAGAAGATAATAAAAAGGTGTTTAATATCATTAGCCATTAAAGAAATACAGATCAAAGACCACAAATTCACAGCATGTAGGATAGTTAAAAGAAAAAAGTCAGATAATAGTAAGGATGTGGAGAAATTACAATCCTTATAAAATGCTGGTGGAGTGTAAAATGCAGATACTCTAGAAGAGTCTAGAATTTCCTTAGAAAAGTTAAATAAACAGCTAGTATTTGACCAAATTATTTTAGTCCTAGGTCTTACACCTAAGACAAATGAAAACATGTTCACATAAAAACACGTACATGGAAGTTTATAGCCAAAGGTGGAAACAATCCCAAATGTCCTTCAAGTGCTGCATGGATAAACGCAATGTGGCACACCCATACAAAGGAATATTACTTGGCCATAAAAGGAATGAAGTTCTGATATATGCTATAACATAGATGAATCTTAAATGCATTATGCTAAGTGAAGAAGAAGTATATTGTTTCATTAATATGAGATGTCCAGTAAGAGGCAAATCTATGAACACAGAAAGCCAGCTGGTGGTTGCCTGGGGATGGAGGAGATGGGGAGATTGGAGGGAAATAGGAGAGTGACAAATAAGCTTTTTTATGAAGTGATAAAAACATTCTAAAACTGACTAGGGTGATGACTGCACAATGCTAAAAACTACAGTGCACTTTAAATGGGTGAATTATATTTCAATAAAGCTGATAAAATTGTAATCCAATGTATTTATTGTTTTTTAAAATCATGCAGGGACACTTATTTTTTGATTTTACTATAATGGGCAAGTAAAGGAGATACAGAAAAAGCATATTTAGATGATTTAAATAAGCTGGATCTCTAGTTCTTAATCTACTTGGGGCATGGATTTCTTTGAAGATCTGATAAAAGTTTTAGACATGGTGTCTTGAAAGAGTCACACAGAATACACTCAGAAGAAAAATTTTAAGAAGTTCACACAACCCTGAAACACCCCCATGGTTCCCTTAGACACTTATGGACTCCAGCTGAGATGAATGCTGTTTACTTACAAAAGGAGACTTAAAAGCTAAGCTGGCAGCAATGGTGAGAGCAGGATCCAAACATCGGAAGATAGACCCAAACAGCATTAGTTTGCCGATTCTCACATCTACAGGCAGAGAGGCCAAGTGATACCCTAGAGGGGTCAGTGTTTCGTCTGGAGTTAATGCTCCCAAGTCTCGTAATCGTATTTTTGAGGCACGGAGAGAATCAGTGTGCGGGGGTTCAATGAGCCGAGAGAACACAGACTGGAGATTTTGAGTGCTAAACATCTCTAAAATTTTAATTCTGAAAGAAGAAAACAAAACAGTTTGTCAATTTTATTTCTGGTGGGATGACATAAAGAAGTAAGCTTCTGCCATGAATGAAAACAATTTATAATTTCCCAAATATATGCTTTTATAAACCAAACAATGCCAGTTTAAATAAATTAAAAAAAAAAACAAAAACCCTCTTATGTCTTGTACTTCTTCTAGCAATAAACTGCAGAAACACTTTCAGGTTCTGAAATTTACTGAGATTCAGAATATATTTCTATAAACTTCCAAAATACTTCACTCTGTAACAGTGGATTCAAATCACAAAATAACATTGAAATGATCCACCTACTCTTTCCCACATCTGAAATTGCACAGTAATTGTTTATGAAATTAATGTGCATTGTGTCCTGCCTGTGGCAGCTCTTGAAAAGCTGTTTTTAAATTATGAATTTAGGTAATTTTCAAAAGAGAAAAATTTAATATGTAAAAAGTTCATTTCACTTATAATTCCTTTACATTTTTACTAATGTAACAGAGGGACCTCAAAATACACCAATTGGATAAAAGAAGAGCATAATATCTTTGTACAAGCAACTTTTTTCCCTTTGGGGTAACATACTATGGGCATTCTCCCTCAAAATAATGACTCAGTCAAAGGGCATGGATAGCTTTAGAGTTCTTATATAATGCTATGCAAATTTTCAGAAAGGCTGAACCAAAGGCTTTCCGGCTTCAGTAACATCGAGTTTAATCATTCATTCACTACATTCTATTTTATGATATTTGTTCTTGTTTGTTCACCAGGTAAATAATGGTGTTTCAAGTTGCTTTTGTTCACTTTGTTCTAATTGATAATGAGGGTGCAGATTTTCCCCTGTGATGATTTAATATCGGTGCTGCCCTAGCAGAAATTTCTTGGTAAGTTAGATTACTTTCTTGACTTATAAGTGTTGTTCTTAAGCTCTATTTTAAGGCCATCCTCTGCAATGCAAGAGATCTTAACGTGAAGCAATATGGTAAAGGCAACACTGAAGAGCTCTTTGCAAATGAATGAGTTCATCCAAGTGCACGTTTAGCAAAACATCTCGTACTAAAAAAAAGAAAACATGGAACGTAGGGTGAGAAACACTAGGACCTTTCGGAAGCAGGACACGAGGACCAATGTGTACCTCAGACAGAGCTGTTCCAAAGGCACTCTTTGTATTTCTGGTAGCTGCTGCTTTAGAAGTTGGTGATTGAAGTGATGGCTGGTGAATAAATGGAAGCAGACCCCAGACGCTACACGACCTGCTCGACCTTTTCTTTGCAGGGCATTGGCTTGAGAGACAAAAGTATCCTCTAAACTTTCCATCCCTTTGCTGGCATCATATCTATAAAGTAAAGGAAAAGGTAAAAAGCAGTTACTTTATAAAAATGTGGCCAAGATTTTATTCAGCATGGACAGATCAGATGAACCGCTCTACTTCTGTTGAAGGACTGTGTCCTACGTGTTCTGGGATAGTTGAGTGCTAACTGCTAATTTAAATGGCTTCTTTAGTATGTACCACATTCAGTTTTTTTAATTCAACTTTAAAAAAAAATTATTTTTCATTTATTTTTGACAAATAAAAATTATATATATTTAAGGGGTACAATGGGACGTTTTGATATATGCACACTTCATGAAATGACTACCAATCTTCTGGTAATTAACATATCCATCACCTCCCATACCAATTCTTTTTCATTCAAGTACATGTAAAGCATATGAATGAAAAAAGAAAAATAATTATTTCTAAGGTAAAATTTTAAACTTTCACCTCTCTTTGGGGGGGAATGTAAGATTCATGTTCCTAGCTATAGAAACACGCATATATCTACAGAGTTTGCATAAAGATTTTTTCAAACAGTAATCTACATAGCTTAATAGCATTAGCCTTTAACAGCTGTGTTGCTCCAATTGAGGCATCTTTAGCCCCTCTTTTACATCACCGAAAAAGGATACCTCTTTTCTTTCATTTTCCCAGAATCGATGACATAGACAACATCATCGATGGTTATGGATGTCTCAGCAATGTTGGTGGAAATTATAATCTTAGTTACACCCGTAGAAGGTTTTACAAACACAGCCTGCTGCTCTTCACTGGATAAAGATGAATGAAGTGGGTGAATTACACATCTAAAAAAATAAAAATAAAAACAAAAACATATTGAGTGTTCTAGCCCAAAACACTGAAATCAGGTTATAATGGGTGGATTTCTATTAAAGCAATATGACTCCCAAAACGAGCAGCTTCTCTACAACCTGTCCTCAAGATCCAAATCTTCTAAGTGAAAAGGCTTTTCCTAACCCTTACAAAGTACTTACTGAGTTCTGTGAACTAAAAACCTTGCATCAACTTGGGAAAAACTGGAGTGTAATTCAGTAGTAAATAATAAGAATAAATAGTTGATATTCTACAAGTAACCCAAGCCCAGCACACACTAACCAAACAAGAATTTTTTTTCCTTGCGCTTAATTCCAGAGAGAGACAGAGACAGTCATGTATGCTAAGAACCTTCATTCTTCTATTTCTAGGAGGTGTTCATCTGTCAAGTAGTCATCCCCTTAGGTCTTCTGCTATTGGAAGAGGAACCACTGAAAATCATTTTTTCTCAAAATGGTAGCATTTCTTTGTTGTTATTATTACACTGGCTGCTTTAATCCCTGGTATCTGGCAACTGAAATAGCAGTTGACCATTGAACAATCCAGGGATTAGGGAGAGCCACTCCTCTGTGCAGTCAAAAACCCACATATAATTTACAATCAGTCCTTTGTTACATGGCTCCTCTGTACCTATGGCTCTGCATCCGTGGATTTAACCAACTACAGGTCATGCAGTTCTACAGTATCTACCACTGACAAAAAAATCCATGTATAAATGGACCCATGCAGTTGAAACCCATATTGTTCCAGGGTTAACTGTACATGCAATTTTGCTGAGATACTATGCTAAGTGAAGAGAAATATTTTTCTATAATGGAATAGAGATATGAGTTGACTTCCTGGAACAAACTGCTTTGTCTATTCCCAGCTGGCATAAACAAACATATTCTTGAGGAGTGACACCTGGGTCTAAAGAGGGTGATGATAGTCAAAGAGATCTTTCTGGTAATTCATTTTCACATATAACTGCAACAGATGATTAAGAATATAAAAAGCAATTACTTACCGATTACTACGTCTATTGTTGAAAAGAGAATTAGACTGGAGCTGTTCATATAGCATTTTGATTTCTGCTAGTCCCGGTAAAAATACAAGTATAGCACCTGGGTATATAAAAACAGTTGGACCATAAAAAAGGCTGCGCCCTGAAGAATTGATACTTTTGAACTGTGGTGTTGGAGAAGACTCTTGAGAGTCCTTTGGACTGCAAGGAGATCCAACCAGTCAGTCCTAAAGGAAATCAACCCTGAACATTCACTGGAAGGACTGATGCTAAAACTGAAACTCCAATAATTTGGCCACCTGATGAGAAAAGCCAACTCAATGGAAAAGAACCTGATGCTGGGAAATATTGAAGGCAAAAGGAGAAGGGGACAATAGAGGATGAGATGGTTAGATAGCATCACAGACTCAATGGACATGAACTTGAGCAAACTCCAAAATATAGTGAGGGACAGGGAAGCCTGGCTTGCTGCAGTCCATGGGGTTGCAAAGAGCCAGACACAACTTAGTGACTGAACAACAACGTATAAAAAGAATCAATCTGATAGATGCAAAAAAGAAAAAACTATCATAGATTATAACTTTAAATGAAAAATGTAATAATCTGAGACTTTTTCACCATCAATTTTCTCTTCTTTGTAAAGTGAAAGTCACTCAGTTGTGTCTGACTCTTGTGACCGCTATGGACTGTAGCCTGCCAGGCTCCTCTGTCCATGGAATTTTCTAGGCAAGAGTAATGGAGTGGGTTGCTGTTTCCTACTCCATGTCTTTGTAAAGTCCCCAGGGAATTAAGTGGAAAACAAACTTTTAAAATATGTTTTCTGACTTAATAACTAAAAAATGGATGAGGTATTGTTATCTTTCTAAAACAGAAAAAAATATGACATATAGAAAAATATAACACCTTACATTACATAAGAATCATTAGTAAAGCTCGTTAAACATACTTTTTCAATGTACTGGCTCTGACATTCTCTTTCTATAGACAGAGTTATCCTTCTAATCTTATAAGACAGGAAGACTCTTCTCTACATTACTAAGTAAAATCCATAAATATTTCACTGTAAATGAGAAAAAGGAGCTATAACTGGCCAACCAATCTGGTAATCTTAATTCAGATATGTGTTGAAGAGGCCATACAGAAACTAACTGTGCCATAATAATGGCTTATGGGTTTTAAAATTTTACATTAAAGATAATAAGCAGTGATAACTGATTGTAGTGTATTTCTGTGTCAAGAGCAGTCACTCAGCAATAGACACCTTTTGTGCTTCATTCAGAGAGGAAACTGACTCTTCAGTTGCCCCTCCTTCAATCTCACAAATATTGGGTACCTTTGTCAGCTCTGTCCTAGGTACAACGGAAGGTAAAACAAAGATCTGCCTACAAGGAACTCATGATCAGTTATTTATCATGCTTATTCTCCCCACAAAATAAATAAGGAAACTAAATTATTACAAAAATTGAACTCTGAAGTGAGGAAAAAAGACATCTTTCAGTGTTCATTCTAATACTTCATAGTTTACAAAGAATGTTCATATGGATTATCTCCATTTGATCCTCATAACCACCTGTTAAGAAGAATATTAGTACCCTTAAGGCGACTGAGTCACATGGTCGGGTAACAGAGCTTAATAGGAAGGGTGTGCAAACACAAATATGGAGTTTCTGGTACCAGACCTATGCTCTTTCCATTACATACCCCATGCTTCACTCTATTAAAGTAACACAAAATTTAAGAGAGGTAAAGTAATCTATATGGAATGGGAAAAAACTGTATATTTCTATGTGCCTTTGATCTGCTCTGCACTCGTGGCTTGGCCATCAGTATCAAGGTTATCTTTAATATTCACAAATATGTCACCAACTGCCTAATCACTACAGCAACTTTACTTTGAATTCAGATAACTTTCCAACATTTCTTTTTGACTGCTACACTTTAATTTTTTCAACAATAGTCTTTTCCTTTGGGGTGAAATAAGATATTTAATCCAGTGATAATGCATTAACCAACAATGGCTATTTGCCAAGGAGTGAGAAACAAGACACTTCAATAATTCTGTGTGTTTCATGTTTCTTTAGAAAATACCATATAATGATTAAAATCTAGGCAGAAGAGGGCAGTCAGTAAGCACTGTGTAATGAGCACATAATAAAATTTTCTGATCTATGATTCCATTTAATTATCACTCAACAATGGCTGCAGCTATTTATGCAAAAATATTTATTCCATACCTAAATATTCCTGGTACTGTTCTGGGTCTTAGGAACATCCCTCAGACCCTAGGACAGAATTAAGAAATCCTTCTTCATTCTTAAAGAGTTTATATTCTACTAAAGGAGACCATTAGTAAGCAGAACTACAATTTTGAATAGTGTTAAAAGTACTATAATAAAAATGAAACCCATTTTTGGGTATTATGATAGAGTGAGGGGAGAGACAACAGATAGGGGTGGTCACAGAAGACTTCTCTGAAGAGAAGACATTTGATGGAAACCTGACTAATGTCAAAGATCCAGTTATGAGATCTGGAGATTCATTCATCCTGGGGATGAGGGGCTACAAATGAGGTAAGAAGGCCACTAAGAAGACAGTGAGCAAGGCAACAGTAGGGATTGCCCTGTGTTATTAACAGGAGGAGGAGGAGTAATAACAGTCATAATAATAACAGTGATAAATAAAGTAGCATAATTTTCATACTGTTAGGGGCAGTAGCTACTGGGCACTAATTATATACCAGGCACTGTGCTAAGTGTTTTAGATAAGGTTTCTTTTAATCCTCAAAATAGAGGATTTACTATTGTCTTTGTTTTACCACAAGGAGCCTGAGGCATAGAAAAGATAAGGGCTTTTATCAACCAAGGTTACAGATCAGACAACAGGGAAGTTTAACAGATTCTCCAAAGTCTGTTCTCTTGGCCCCATGGTCCTGTGGTCTCCAACTGTCAAGTCTTCGTGTGACTCAAACACTCACTACTAGATTCCCATTTAGCCAGGGACTCCCAGATGGTGCAGTGGTAAAGAATCTGCCTGCCAATGAAGGAGATGCAAGAGATGTGGGTTTGATCCCTGGTTGGGAAGATGCCCTGGAGGAGGAAATGGCAACCCACTCCATTATTCTTGCAGCAAAATCCCACAGACAGAGGAGCCTGGTGGGCTTCAGTTCAGGGGCTGCAGAGAGCCAGACCTGACTGAGCGATGGAGCAGGCATGCAGAGGCGAGCGAGTGCTGAATGTGTACACGCCCAGGCCTTCTTTTCGGCCTTCTTCCTTTTGGACTTGGTATTGTTACCGTCCTTTTACTCAAGTGGGTGAAAGGTAAATTTCCCCCTGAAAACCCTAACAAAGAACTTTACAGCAACTGGGGATGGAAAGGTGAAGAAAACTGGGGTGAGGGCTCCAGGAAGACAGGCTGTCCCCACAAACCCCACTGTCTCAGGAAGGAGGGTCCCTGCCCTTTGCCGGTGCACACTTAAGTTACCTGGAGGGTAGGAGTGCTTTCCATCCACAATCCACTCTAACAAGGCCTCGATTAATTCAAGATTGACCTTTTCAAAGTCCATAATGGACATTGTTTTGATGACTGATTTGCTAACTCCTGCAAGAAAGGTAAAAATAATAAAGACATTAATAGTTTTATACCTTATTGAAGAAAATATGCCTGGGAACTAGGTGTATCTTGATTTAATAACACAGATGTTCACAGTGAATGCACTGAAATGAACTTTTTTCCTTCAGTCTCTCAGCAAGTACAGGCTCACTAGAAGCACTTTTTTGCCTGAACAGTGACCTGAAGAGCAGGCTCCTGGCCCTGCTTCAAAAGGCCAGAGAGGCAACTTTTCACTGTCTTCCTTCCTTCCCCTTTTATCTATCATACATCTATTGACAGTTTAAGTTCAAGAAACAAGATTCAAAGTCAAATGTATTTCAGAAAACCCTTCTAGATTTAATCAAGTCGTGAGTCGTATCAGACAAAAGTCCAGTTAACAGTAACTGTAAAAATCAAAGCACAGAGACCACAGCTTTCAGCATCATTTTTATAACAGTGACTTTTAACATTTAGATTCCTTTGAGAAAATCATAAAAGTTATGAATCTTCCCTGAAAAATACATGTGATTTTAATGGCTTCACTAACACCTCTGAAATCTACCCACAGACCCTCAGGTTAAGGGTCTACAATCTCCTTCTAATTCATATGAATCCTAGTAAAAGACATAGTTCCTTATGTTGTACTATAAGCCTCAGTTGCTTTTAAAAACAAACAGCAGGGACTTCCCTTGTGGTCCAGTGGCTAAGACTCTGCGCTCCCAATGCATGGAGCCTGGGTTCCATCCCTAGTCAGGGAACTACACCCCACATGCCATAACTAAGAGTTTACATGTAGCAACTACAACAAAACAAATGAATAGCATAAACTGGGGGAGACTAACTCTCCAAAGATAGCTGCCCTTTCCTGTAGGTCTTTCTAATGACCCATCACCTGAAACAGAATCTAACCACAGCAAAATAACTGTAGCTGGTATCAAGGAAGGGAAGCTTCCTACATTTTGCGGAAAAGCTTGAGGAAAGGCAAAAGCCATTTTTAAACAATGCTGTTCTAACAGTGAACCGTATGTCGGTAAAAAATCAAACAAAGGAAGAAACAGGCTACAAGCAAAGATGTGGATGGTGTGGAAGGCAGAGCAGGAATCATTTTTATTTGCCAAGATTCCAAATAGCCAGACTTTTCCAAAAGGAGAACCAGTTATCTGAAAGAAAAAGGGAAACAAACATTTTTTTTTAATTAAAAAAAAAAGTTCAGCAGGGCTTACTAATCAATTATATATTTTAAAAGACTTATATTCTCTTTCAACTAGCAAAAGTTTTAAAAATTGAGTTGGGAACAACATTTAATTTTCTGAAAGGTGAAACAAAGCACTGAGATCAACTAGATAGAAGTCATTGTTTCAGAGGGAGAAGGAGACTAAGAGAAGCTAAGAGATCTGCCCAGCATCACACAGAAAACAGCAGCAGAGCCAGGTTCCCCAAACCTCAGATCCTTAGAAAAGATTTCTCAGAGGCACTTTTTGAACTTCTGTGTCCCTATGCTGGACATTAGAAGGACTCCGACTTAGATCCAGTCATCATTCTTAAAGAAAACTCTGGAATTTCAAAAGAGAAACCAAATAGATTCCTGTTAACTCATTTAACAGAATAAGGAAATGGGAATTGTCAGCTGGTCTGAAGTACAGAAAGAACACAAACATTTGAGTCAGACATTCTCATCAGAACCACAAATCTGCACTAACTGACCGGGCACTATGCTGTTGATTTGTATTGTCTTATTTAACCTCCTAAATAACCACATTTTATAGATAAGGCAACGAGCAATAGAGAGGATGAAGAACTTGCATCTAACTGGTTTTATGACAGTCTGGGGAGTTAAGTCCAGGTCTGTAAGATACAAGTCTATACTCTTAACCTTGCTTACCAGGATGTTGGGAAGATGAAGTGAAATGTTTGGGAGCTATGTGTATCTTCCTGAGCAGCAGAACAAATGGCTAATGCCCTAGTTCCTTTATGATCACCATTTCCCATGCAGGACTGAGTCTGGTGGAAGGAGGAAAAGGAAAAACTTATTTGCCTTTTCTGCTATGGAAGTAGCAAGGATCTGAGGCCCTTACACCTTGAAAGGTAAACAGTTTTTTTTTTTTTTTTTTTTTGGAAGGACCAAGAGGAGTTGGGGTGGCAATCCAGGAAAAAGAGAACAGGAAAAGCAGCTGAGACCTGTCTAGGCTTTAAAAAGAAAGCAAAAGTAGTCATCTTGGGATTTCTATGGATTCAGCCCAGCTGAACATATGGAAGGCTATCTAGGAACAAAGTTGGGTGGGATCCAGAATGGGAGGAGAGAGCGCCTCATAACACAGGTAAAAGCACTCAGCACAGGGTGAACCCTAAAAAAAGATTTTTTAGGCCCATTTTAGGTCATTTTCCAGGCCCACTGAATAATGCTAAAACTAGTAGGTGAAATTTTGAGGATATTTAAATAGTTTCAAATCTTTCTCCACAATTGACTCATCAAACCTACCAAGGGAATAAATAACTACACAAAGAAGAAACACAGGCATCATCTTAACCAGTTGGTCAAAGTTAACACTGCCAATAACGAGACAAGCCAACATCACATGCTCCTGATGGGATGCGCTGAGAACAAGGTTCAACATGATTTCTGTGGTTTTCTAACCAAAAACATGTAACCTAAAATTAACCATCAGGCAACATTAGACAAATCCAAATGAAGGGACATTCTACAAAATACTTGGCCCAAACTCTTTAAAAATGTAAATCATAAAAGAAAAATAAAGGCTGGCAAATTTTTCCAGATCAAAAGAAACTAAAGACACATGATGACTGAATGCAGTATGTAATCCTGGGTTGGATACTGTACCATTTAAAAAACAGCAATAAAGGACATTATTGAAATAACTGACAAAGTGAGAATATGAATTATGGATTAAACAGAAGTACTGTATTGTGTTAAATGTTTTCATTTTGATCATGTCCTATTGCTGTGGGGTTTTTCTTTTGGCCGTACCGCAAGGCTTGCAGGATCTTAGTTCCCTGACCAGGCATGGAACCAGGACCAGTGATTGAATCTGGCCCTGGAAGCGGTTCTGCTAAGTCCTAATGTTTGGAATGCCAGGGAATTCCCGTGTCCTATTGTTATGTAAGAGGATGTCCTTGTTCCTAGAAAATATATACTGAAATATTAGGGGTTAAGGAACATCATATCTGCAATTTACCCCCAAAACATTCAGGAAAAATACATGTACATGAACACAGAGCAAATGAGGCCAAATGTTCATAACTGGTGAATCAGGGTAAAAGATACAGGAGAGTTCATTGCAGTTCAGCAAACTTTTAATTCTAAGTTTGAAATCACATCAAAATACAAAGTTACAAAATACTCAAGAATATAATATATGGTTTACCATCTCCTCATTTTTCTATAATGAACACATTTCTTTCATAATCAGAAAAAACCCACTGGTAAATATAAATAATAATGACTTTAATATGTATTGGAACTGTTATTTTTCTATTATTCTGATGAATTAAAGACAAGATAACTATGAAACAAGAGCTACATTTTTCTTTTTCTGGTTATCTTTGGCATAACTGTAAAATTCCCCCAGGAAGCACATTACCTTGATAGCGGGCAAGGAGCTGTTTGAAATCTAACTGCTGATCTGGTACCGCATCTTTAACAGAATCCTGATCCTGGAGGTGCAGGGAGAGACGCAGGTCCTCCTCCACCTCCTCAAACGCGGTTCTGCTGCGCCTGGCCTTGAGCTTCTCCTTTGACATCTGTTTCATGGAGCGGGCATATGGGCTCCCATCCTGCAACACATACCTGAGCAAGGACAACAAGGGAACGTGTGGATATGGATGTGGGTCTGTTGGTGAGGAATGACAACATTCACCTGTTTCACACCTCATTCAGCACAATGTTGCTCTGCTGCTGCCCAATTCACGGGCTATTCTTCCACCAGTCTAGGATTCCATCATGCCCTACTGCTGGTGGAGAACACATTGGAATGCTTTGGCTCTGCTTTAAGATAATTTTGGGGTTAGTGAGTATGGAAAAGTGAGAGAAAAAAGACAGGGAAACTAGGTGAAGGATGATTTCTGCAGAGGTTCACATTCAGTGGAAATGGGATAGAGCCCACAATACAACTTTAATGAGCTCCCTAAGTATGATTATTGCACTAGGAAGTTTGAGAACCACTGATCTAGGGTTGTTAGCCTGAGAATACTGCATCATTAAATAAGCAAAGAATTAGGAGGGGGCTTATGAGAAACAGAAAGAGCAGAGAGAAGGAAAAGAGTTCTGGTTGCGTTTAAGGCGTCAGATGTGACAGGTGTTTTCATTCTGGAGTTCAGAGGTCAGGAATGAGTTCAGAGGTCAGGAATGAAGACACTGATCTGGGGGTTCCTGGCACAGCAGCAACAGCTGAAATCATGTCAGTCTAAGAAGAAACAGTGCAAGAACAAAACTCTGGGAATCTTAATGCCAAGGAGTAGGCAGAGAAAGCGAGGTTTTTCAAAAAGCAGCAATCAGCTGGTATCCAACAGACATTACCATCTTCTATACAGTACCAAACTTAAACAGACATCTTAACATCCACATGTACTGCAAACTCCTTGAAGGTAGAATGATAATAACAGCTAACACAAATATATAATTATGGATCACCGACTTGATGGACATGAGTTTGAGTAAACTCCAGGAGTTGGTGATGGACAGGGAGGCCTGGCGTGCTGCGATTCATGGGGTCGCAAAGAGTCAGACACAACTGAGTGACTGAACTGAACTGAATACATAATATATTGCCTGTGAAGTCAAACAATTTGAATAGTAAATATCTGCTGAAAGAAGAAAGCAAAATGCTCAAATTGAAAAATTAGAAGAAAAAACAACACATTTATCAGTATCTGGGCACAATGAGGTAAAATAGTGATTTTGTTTTCAAGGACTTTTATCAAACCTTAATAAATAATATCTTCCTTACCTTGTCACAGCAATTGCATCTTCCAGAAAAAACTGATCAACAGGAAATGTACGACCTACAAAAACAAGAAGACAGAAGAAGTAAGTCTCAGAATACCCATTCAACTATCTTGAAATTGTTTGTATATGTAAAATTCTCCTAAAATGAAGGCTGGCACAATAAGGTACTATCTGCTCTGTGGTCTTAAAAGTATCCAAAAATGCTTTTGATGATAAAAATTGGAAGGAGTAGATTCCCGTTAACAAATAAAACAAGTATATAGTTGGAGAAATGATCATTTGCTAATAAGATGTTTTTTACCTCTTTAAAAAAAATCTGTTATACCTTTTCACCCCCTACCTCCTTTCTCACAGGGGACCTTATAACAGTCAAAAATTGTAGTCTAGATCAAGAATATAACTTCATCTTTAAATCTACTGTTGATATCCTCTATAATGAGAACAAGTAGTACTATTATCAGTGTTTCCAAATTGTTCCTTTAGCAATCAACTGCAGAAGGATAAGCCAAAAGCCCAAGGTGATAAATTAATCCCACAATGAGACTGAAAGCACCAAAGAAGACACAGACCACCCAGCTTCACTTACTCCCAGGGTGGGCAGCATCCAGAAATTTAGCAGAATTCATCAGTGAACAAATATGCCATACACAGATATAACTTTCCTCTTTATGACAGATTACCGTTATAAATTCACATTTTGATATTAAACACAACAGAATGCTAGAAATCCAATCACTTAGACTTTTTTTAAAGCACACATAAATTAAAATCTCACAGAAAATGAATATAACATTACTTCTTTATTAATTTCATTATATGGTTATGATTTTGTTATAAACAAATCATTCTTCTCTAGAAGAAGGTATAAATACTTATTCATTTATGTCTCAAATGAACTTTAAAATAATTGTATTTGTTTATTAGGACAATACTTATTTAATGATGCATTTTAATCACCTGGTATAGTGATAACTGGGCAGGAATTAAAATATTCTGAAAAGAGCTCAGCGTTTAAGGTTGCACTCATCAAAATAACTTGAAGAGTTGGTCTCTGCAACACAATGTCTTTCAAAACTAGCAGTAAGAAGTCACTAGAGGAAATAAAAGAAACACCTGAGGATCAAACAAATTTAATATATGAAAATTAATAAACTTTGACATATTTCAAGTAAGTATAATACCTATGTGAAAAAAACTTACAACACTCTGAGAAAGATGTATCATGTTTCTAGATGTAAAGACTTAATGCTATCAACTTCCCATCAAATAAACTAAAATATGTGTAGTACCAACTAAAATACCAACAGGATTTATCATTACATTTGATAATTCTACCTCTTGATATCTATATGTACATAAAGAAGCATACACAATGATTTTCATTATAGCATAGTTTGTAATAGTAACTCAATGGAAACTACTGAAATGTCTATCAATCAAAAAATGATTAAGACAGTATCATCCATTCTGAGGAAAAATATGAGGCAGGTAAAAGGAATAAAATAGAACTCTAGATACAGACATGAAAACATCTCTAAGACATACTGTTAGTGGAGCAAGAACCCACGCTGTAGAACACTATGTGCCACAGAACAGCAACGGCCTAAATGGTCTCCCCAGCCCTTGACCCCTTGAAATCTATTCTCAATACGGCAGACCAATAATTCTGCTCAAATGTAAACAGGACTGTTCCACTCTTCTGCTCAACATCCTTCAAATGACTTACCAAAGTTCTTACTAATGAGGCCCCAGAATCTGCAGCCCCACTACTCATTTCCTGTCACTCTTCTTGTTCACTTAGCTTCAGCCACAATATTCTCCTTGATGTCTTTGAGACATGGATCTCAGGTCCCTTGCATGTGTTATTAATGTGCCTAGAAAGGGCTTCTCCCAGATACTCACAGAGGTAAGCTCACTCTGTCACTTTCTTCAAATCTTGACTCAAAATGTGTCTTTTCAGCGAGGCCTTCCCTGGCCACCATGTTTAAAATTGCAAATGCTCTCATCTCTTGCATTTCATATTACCATTTCTCTTCTTAGCACTTAACGAACATACTTTATATTTTACTTCTTTATCTTGCTTAATGTTGGGCTTTCTCACTAGAATACAAGCTCTATGAGGACAGGGATTTTGGTTATTTTGTTCTACAAGATACTACTTTAGTACCTAGACTAATGCCTGGGATATAGCAGGTGCTCAATAAATGCTTATTGATTTACTAAATGAATATATAATTTGTAAAAGAAAAAAGGTCATGAAACAAAAGTACCTATTTCTGACAAAGGAAGCATATATGTTAATATTTATCACCAATCTGACTGCTGTAATTATCTCTACAGCAGTCTACAGGGATGCTTTGAGAGTGTTTCAGAGGACGTTTGCTTTATCTACATTGTTCAATTTTTCATAAGAGTATCGGTTGGCCAAAAACTTAATTTGGGTTTTTGGCCAACCCAATAATTTATGGTATATCCATATATTAGAATTTCCTCATGCAGTTATTAATAATAACTTCAAAGACAGTTCATGCTATTAAATATTAGATCAAAAGCAGCACACACTATATAATCCCAATAGTGTTTATGGACACACATCTCTTTCCTAACTCCCAATATACTCCCAGAAGAAAACAGACCAAATTCTAACATGTAATTAGCTATTCTATAAGTGGAGATTTTCTTGACATTTAATATTGCCTAAATGTGTTAAAATAATGTTGTCTCTATGATCAAAAAATTTATTAAAATTTTTAAACATAATTTTTTTCTATTCAACCTTTTACCTTATTTCTTAACTGATCTTAGTTCCTAGAATTTGCTATTTTCTGCCTTTTTCAGTCACTTATTCCCTACTTTTTGTTATAGTTCCCCTACTTTTTCTTATAATTTGAACAGTCCGTTCCCATAGACTGGTACTGGTATTTGTAAATTCTCAAATCTCCCTTCTCCAGTGTGTTATTTATCTTTATTTGGATGTGAAAATATTGAGTTTTTAACTGCTAATATTCTATATGTCATTGTGTGTGCTAAGTCGCTTCAGCTGTGTCCAACTCTTTACAACCCTAAGAACTGTAGCCCCGCTAGGCTCCTTGGTCCATGGGATTCTCCAGACAAGAATACTGGAGTGGGCTGCCCTGCCCTCCTCCAGGGGAATCTTCCTGAACAGGGACTGAACCCCGACTCCTGCACTGCAGGCAGACTCTTTGCTGCTGAACCGCTAGGGAAGCCCCTGTATGTCATTAAGCTTTTGTGAGAATCCTTCTCTGAGAGCACCACTGCAGCCAGGGACCAGGTCCAGTGCTAGCCTCCAGTTCCTTTGAGTTTGTGGAAGCATAAATGTTATAAAACCCAGAGCTAGTTTTTATGTTCAAAATAACTTCCCCTAAAATTTAAAAATTTATTTTTAGAATACGATCATTTAAATATTATTATTTTGGTAGAATGCTTTGATTCCTTCTTCAGAGTTGTTCAGTGATTCTTAATTCTTTTTTCAAATGTTCATTTTACCATTTACCATTTACTTTTCCCCACTGTTCTCGGAGTATCTACAAAAAGATGATTTGCCCCTCAAACATAAGATTTTCAGTGCTTTCTATACAGCTACTTAAAATGTATTATTGTTTTGTTCTAGGAGTTCTTATTATTATTCTTTATTTAAAACAATGTTTTGGCTACACCATGCAGCTTCCAGGATCTCAGTGCGTGTGTGTGCATGTGTGTGTTCAGTCGTGTCTGACTCTTTGTGACCCCTATGGACTGCTGACCAGGGATCAAAACTGGGGACCCAGCAATAAAAGTACTGGGTCCAGTACTGCCAGTTAGTACTGGCAATCCAGTACTAACCACTGGATTGCCAGGGAATTCCCTGATCTATTCTTTTTATATAAAAATCCTTTTCTTTAGTTTCAAATTTCTTTGTATTTCCTATTTATAACTAGATCAGTGTTATTTACTTTTTCTAACAGTCTACTGGTTGCATGTCCTCCCTGTTCAGTTCTTGAAAACTTTTTATCAGCAGTAGCTGGGACCTCTTTTCACATGTGTTTCTTTCTCCTTTTTAGTTTTTACGATGATCTATTTCTGCTTCTCTGTCAGCCCATGAACTTTACTTAGACTTTTCTTCTTCTCAAGATACTTATAATAGTATAGTTCTTTTGTCAAAAGCCTCATTATTTTCACAGGATCATCTTTTTTTCCACTACTTTACTGCTTTAGAGCATGATCTACATGACAAGATTGCCAGGAGAAATATCAACAACCTCAGACATGGCAATGATACCAATCTAATGACAGAAAGTGAAGAAGAACTAAAGAGCCTCTTCAGTTCAGTTCAGTCACTCACTTGTGTCTGACTTTGCAACCCCATGGACTGTAGCATGCCAGGCTTCCCTGTCCATCACCAACTCCCAAAACTTGCTCAAACTCATGTCCATCAAATTGGTGATGCCATCCAACCATCTCTTCCTCTCTTGTCCCCCTCTCCTCCTGCCTTCAATCTTTCCCAGCATCAGGGTCTTTCCCAATGAGTCAGTTCTTCACATCAGGTGGCCAAAGTTTTAGAGTTTCAGCTTCAGAATCAGTCCTTCCAATGAATATTCAGGACTGATTTCCTTTAGGATTGACTGGTTGGATCTTGTAGTCCAAGGGACTCTCAAGAATCTTCCCCAACACCACAGTTCAAAAGCATCAATTCTTTGTAGCTCAACTTTTCTTATGGTCCAACTCTCACATCCATACATGACTACTGGAAAAACCATAGCTTTGATTAAATGGACCTCTGTTGGTAAAGTAACGTCTCTGCTTTTTAACATGACTGTCTAGGTTTGTCGTAGCTTTTCTTCCAAGGAGCAAGCATCTTTTAATTTCATGGCTCTAGCCAGCATCTGCAGTGATGTTGGAGCCCCCAAAAATAAAGCCTCTCACTGTTTCCACTGTTTCCCCATCTATTTGCCATGAAGTGATGGGACTGGGTGCCATGATCTTAGTTTTCTGAATGTTGAGTTTTAAGCCAACTTTTTTACTCTCTTTCACTTTCATCAAGAGGTTCTTTAGTTCTTTGCTTTCTGCCATTAAGGTAGTGTTACCTGCATATCTATTATTGAAATTTCTCCCAGCAATCTTGATTCTAGCTTGTGCTTCATCCAGCCCAGCGTTTCTCATGAGGCATTTCTGCAGAGTTAAATAAGCAGGGTGACAACATACAGCCTTGACATACTCCTTTCCCAATTTGGAACCAGTCTGATGTTCCATGTCTAGTTCTAACTGTTGCTTCTTGACCTGCATAGAGATTTCTCAGGAGGCAGGTAAGGTGATCTGGTATACCCATCTCTTGAAGAATATTTCCAGTTTGTTGTGATCCATACAGTCAAAGGCTTTTGTGTAGTCAATAAAGCAGATGTTTTTCTGGAATCCTCTTTTTCGATATTCCAATGGATGTTGGCAATTTGATCTCTGGTTCCTCTGCCTTTTCTAAATCCAGCTTGACATCTAGAAGTTCATGGTTCACGTATTGTTGAAGCCTGGCTTGGAGAATTTTGAGCATTACTTTGCTAGTGTGTGAGATGAGTGCAATTGTGCGGTAGTTTGAGCATTCTTTGGCATTGCCTTTCTTTGGGATTGGAATGAAAACTGACCTTTTCTAGTCCCGTGGCCACTGCTGAGTTTTCCAAATTTGCTGGCATACTGAGTGCAGCACTTTCACAGCATCATCGTTTAGGATTTTAAACAGCTCAACTGGAATTCCATCACCACCTAGCTTTGTTCGTAGTGATGCTTCCTAAGGCCCACTTGACTTTGCATTCCAGGATGTCTGGCTCCAGGTGAGTGATCACACCATCGTGATTATCTGGGTCATGAAGATCTTTTTTGTATAGTTCTGTGTATTCTTGCCACTTCTTCTTAATATCTTCTGCTTCTGTTAGGTTCATACCATTTCTGTCCTTTATTGTGCCCATCTTTGCATGAAACGTTCCCTTGGTATCTCTAATTTTCTTGAAGAGATCTCTAGTCTTTCCCATTTGTTGTTTTCCTCTGTTTCTTTGCACTGACCACTGAGGAAGTCTTTCTTCTCTCTCCTTGCTATTCTTTGGCAGTCTGCACTCAAATGAGTATATCTTTCCTTTTCCCCCTTGCCTATTTGTAAGGCCTCCTCAGACAACCATTTTACCTTTTTGCATTTGTTTTTCTTGGGGATGGCCTTGAACACTCCCTCCTGTACAATGTCACAAGCCTCCGTCCATAGTTCTTCAGGCACTCTATCAGATCTAATCCCTTGAATCTATTTATCACTTCCACAGTTTAAATGTAAGGCATTTGATTTAGGTCATACCTGAATGGTCTTGTTTTTCCTTACTTTCTTCAATTTAAGTCTGAATGAGGTTGAAAGAAGAGAATAAGAAAGCTGGCTTAAAACTCAACATTCAAAAAACTAAGATCATGGCATCTGGTCCCATCACTTCATGGAAAATAGATGGGGAAAAATTGAAAGCAGTGACAGATTTCCTTTTCTTGGGCTCTAAAATCATTGCAGACAGTGACTGCAACCATGAAATTAAAAGACACCTGCTCCTTGGAAGAAAAGCTATGACAAACCTAGACAGCATGTTAAAAAGCAAAGACATCACTTTGCCGACAAAGGTCCATATAGTCAAAGTTTTGGTTTTTCCAGACGTCATGTATGGATGTGGCTGTTGGACCATAAGAAAGGCTGAGCGCTGAAGAATTGATGCCTTTGAATTGTGTTGCTGGAGAAGATTCTTGAGTCCCTTGGACGGCAGGGAGATCAAACCAGTCAATCCTAAGCGAAGTCAACCCCGAAAATTCATTGGAAGGACTGATTCTGAAGCTGAAACTCCAATACTCTGGCCACCTGATAAGAACAGCTGACTCACTGGAAAATACCCTGATGCTGGGAAAGACTGAAGGCAGGAGAAAAGGGCGGCAGAGGATGAGACGGCTGGAGAGCATCAGTGACTCGGTGGACACGGATCTAAGCAAACTCCAGGAGGCAGTGAGGGACAGGGGAGCCTGGCGTGCTGTAGCCCATGGGGTCGCGGGGAGTGGACACAGCTTAGCAACTGAAAAACGACGACTACGTAACAAACTGTGATTAATGCCATCTATTTACCTGGTCCTTCCTTTAAAATACTGAGAAGTTTTGTTTTGTATTTCTGCCTTTAATGACTTACTTCCGTTAAAGTAAAATCCAAATGCTTTATGATTCACAGTGCATGGTTTCCTGCCGCCCCCCCCCCCCCCTTTTTTAGCTGTCACCTTTCCTCTCATTTCACTACATACCAGCTTCACTGGCTTTCCCCCAGTTTTTAAACTCATGAAGCCTTTTACTACTGCAGAGTCTTTGCAAATGCCTGTCTTGCCTTCTTATGTCTCATGAGACTTCTTTCCATACTTCTGTTTTTAATTTAAATGTAATTTCTTCAGAGATTTAATCTCTACTATATCAAGGCTCTCTCCCCCCAAACACAGCTTCCTGTTTATTCCTTTACGGTGCTTATTCCAATTTGTAGTTTTTTACTTATTTATTTACCTGCTCATTATGTGTTTTTCCTGGCAGACCATAAGAGATCAAGGGGAACCATAAGTTTGTTCACTATAGCATCCCCAGCAATTAATACACCACCTGGCACTTAATACAGGCTGAATAAATATATGAATGAATATCAGAACTGAATGGGCTTCCCAGGTGGTGCCAGTGGTAAAGAACCTGGCTGCCAATGCAGGAGATGTAAGAAACATGGGTTTGGGAAGGTCCCCTTGGAAAAGGGCATGGCAATCTACTCCAGTATTCTTGCCTGGAGACTCCCATGGACAGAGGAGCCTGCCAGGCTACAGTGCATAGGGTTGCAAAGGGCTGGAAACAACTGAAGCAACTTAGTACTTAGCATATCAGGACTGAATGACTGACCAAATGAATAAAGGAAGGACATACTGACTAATCCATCAGCTGCAACATGACCCACGACATTCCTGCTAATAAGTACAGTGCCCAGCTCAGCAAGGTGCTTCTTATTAAATGATGTCCATCTAACAGGATGACTCTTCCAGTGATGAACATGTGCTGCCTAGCATTTTCCGTGTCACAGACCCTGGAGACCAGGAAAGTAGTTCCTCTTCTTTAACTTAGGCCTTCTCTATGGTAACTACCATTACTAGCCCTAAGGAACTGAACTGGAAGCAGAACAAAATTCTTTCAGCCTTGTCTCCATTCTATGTATGTGGGTGCTCATTTGGAAAATCTTTGTTTTACCTTTCTTCTGTCCTCTCATGAACTTCATCAACAATGATATGGGTGACTCCCTGTAGAGCTGTGTCTCCCTCCAGCCTTCTTAGCAGCACTCCTGTGGTGCAGTATAACAATCTGGTGGCTGAGGACTTACACGTAAAAGGGCACAGAAAACGTTAATGACATTTTTGGAAAAAGGAAACACTTTCCCAGCAAAGCCGTTTTTAATGGGTAGGGATAAGAATAGTGAACACACCAGCAGGTCCATTTAACATAAACCAAGAGACTAAATGCACAGTTTCTTGCTGGCAATGACATCAAAAGCTTTCCCACTTCAGATGAAAATTTAGAAAGCATTTAAAAATTATTATAAAACATAAAGATAACAGTGAATGATGAAACAAATTCTGAATTTATTCATTCTATATTTGATTAAACGGATGAAGTCCCAGTCTTAGGAATAAGGCAGCACTTACTAGATCACTTCTGCCAACAAAGAACAGAAGGTCTTTATGGAGGAAATTAAGTATAGCCCAATAACAGTTTAAACCAAAATGTGTCTAAGAGGACTTCAGCCCTGTTGAAGTATATATACCAACTTGCCTGTGAACCTCCAGACACCAACGGCTCTTTGTGCTTGAAAAATTTAAACTTCTGTCATCAGGAAGTAAGAGCATACAAACCTTGACACTTTCTAACCGGATCTGGTATCCCACGGTCAGACCCACTCTTTCTGCCCTTTCTTTAGCAACGCGCTCAGCAACAGAGATGGCAGAGATTCGTCGGGGTTGGGTACAGATGATGTTAGCCACCTTCTCAGGTGGTCCACTCAGAGAGTCATCCAGAATAAATTGTGGAATCTGTGTGGTTTTCCCACATCTGTATGTCAAAAAGATGTAGGACAAGTATACTAAAATGAGGGTTTTCAAGTGCTACTTAACTGAAGAAGCAATCATATGCAATGAGGAAGGTTAAGAAAGCTAGTCAGAATAAAAGTTGTTCAGCTTCATCTATCTTCCAAACCTACCTACTGACTTATTACCTACAGCTGATAACTCCTAGGAATTTGCACGAAGATTAACAGAGCAATCAAACAACAGTTTATCATTATTTGTAAAAGTGGGAGTATTGAATAAAGAGTAGCTTAAGGTCTATAAATGCCTCCAGGAATGTCAACTCTACATATGAATCCTAGAGAAACAGGAGTATTATCTTATGATCATTAAAATACTTTGTTTCTCCCATTGGCGTGGCATTGCTTCACTATAAATAGACTGAAGTTAAAAAGACAAGAAACTGGAAGATACAAGTTACTATTATATCTGTGAGTCTGGGCACAAATTAAATTGAAAACCCTTAAACACAGAAATGGCAACCCACTCCAGTATTCTCACCTGGAGAATCCCATGGACAGAGGAGCCTGGCAGGTTACAGTCCATGGGGTTGCAAGAGTCGGACACGACTTAGTGACTAAACCACCAGATACAGAATTAAATTAAGCCTGCAGCTTGTCCCTGATAAACAGGTTTGGATAACATATGGAGAGTGTGAACCAGAAACAGTAAGATACCCAAAGCTGTTCTTAAACAAAAGCTTTAAGGAATTCAGAATAAATTTAAAAGATGAAGAGTTTCAAGCTAAATGGTCTGGAACTATTCTTTATATTTCTTTACATTTTAAAATGGGTCTTGTGCTCACTTCAGCAGCACATATACTAAAATTGGAACGATACAGAGAAGATTAGCATGGCCCCTGCGCAAGGATGACACGCAAATTCGTGAAGCGTTCCATATTTTTACAGATGTAGAACAGACTTGTGGACTCTGTGGGAGAAGGCGAGGGTGGGATGTTTCAAGAGAACAGCATCGAAACATGTATATTATCTAGGGTGAAACAGATCACCAGCCCAGGTTGGATGCATGAGACAAGTGCTCGGGCCTGGTGCACTGAGAAGACCCAGAGGGATCGGGTGGAGAGGGAGGTGGGAGGGGGGACCGGGATGGGGAATACATGTAAATCCATGGCTAATTCATTTCAATGTATGACAAAAACCACTGCAATGTTGTAAAGTAATTAGCCTCCAACTAATAAAAATAAATGGAAAAAAAAAGAATAAAAAATAAATAAATAAAACAGGTCTTGTTAAAAGCCTTCGGCTAGGCATTTTGCCTTAAACTGACTCAAGGCAGAGGTGTACAAGGTCTATAAATTCCCAAAGTTCTGAGTTTTGTTTGTTTTGAATTGGTTACAATTGCCACCACATTTGCCTCTGGGAGATATTATTTAGTATTTGACAGGAAAAAGCACAAATAACACCAGCTACTGTTTTTTTCTTTTTTAAAGAAGAACTAGTTGAGGTAGCCAGGGCACACACCATATTCACAGACGAAAGCTGCGTTACAAATAAATTACATTCTTACCCAGTCATACCACTTATAACAAGCACTTGGTGCTTGCTCAACAATTTAAGAATGTTTTCTCTTTCTTCCCAAGCAGGGAGCGACTGTCTTTCTTGTAGAACTGACTGGAACTGTCTGGAGGCCTAATAAAACAAAAATAAGACATCAGTTTGGTTACTCTGAATAACCTTTCATGAAGCTCTGAATGTGGAATCCCAAAGTTAGACATACCTTTTCTGTCCTTTCTTCATCAATTTGCTTAGTGACAGAAAGTGAAGATTTGTTGGGGGTGGGATGCTGGTCAGAAGGCTGTTCAGATAATCTACCAGAACAAGCTGTGGAATCTGTGTGGCTTTCCTACGTCTGAATAAACTGAAGGATCTTAGAAAAAACCCCTCTTACCTAGCACCTATCCAGCTCTTTTTGTAACAATCTCTACACCAGCACCATTCAACAGAATTTTCTGTGCTGATCGTAACGTTCTACATTTGCATTGTGCAATATAGCAACCTCTGGCTACATGTGGCTATTGAGCATTTAAATAACATCAAGGAACTGAAATTTTTATTATATTTAATTTTAATTAAAATTTAAATAGCTACACATGGCTAGAGGCTACCACATAGAACAGTGCAGCTCTACACAGCATCAGATTTTTATCCAAATCACCAACAGTTAAGAGGACTCACTAAAGGGTTTTCAGCCAATCACCACATCTATGTAACCCTTTGACATCTAATGGCCAATGCTATAAATGTTGTACTGTAGGTCAAAATTGTGGATATTGTATTTTTGACTAATGTAAGGAATTTATATTAACATATACATTATCTGTATATAATTTAATCATATAAATTTACCACTGTAAACACACTACTCAAGCTGAATGGGTAATTTTAAATTTCTACCATCTTATTATTTATGATATGATTTTTTAATTCAATTTGACACTCTATGGGTGTTGCAGCATATATGTACTTGTGTTAATACTGTGTCAAAAATCAGAATCACAGAACTTTAAAGTTGGAAGGGCTTTTAGACAGCATCTAATCCAATCCCCAAACTGGTTTAAGTAACTCATCTTTATCCTACATCCAACTCTACCGTAACAGTTCACTTAATGAATTCTTTTAAAATAATCTCCATGTGAATGAGGTAAAACAATATGAACTTTGGAAACAGAGAGAATTAGCTGGAAACCTTGTGTTGCCACTTAGCAGCGAGGTGACCCTGGATAAATGATTTATCCTGTGAGGCCGTGAAACGGCGTTAAGAGTCCCTCCTCATCCTTTTCTGCATTGGTATTTCTAATGTAAATCACAGTACTAATTTTTCTTTCACTTATCAGATTTCTAACACAGTATCAAAGCCACATGATTCTCAGAATATTTGGTATATACATGTTGCATTTTCATCAGCCATCAGATTTTCCAAAATTAGTTAGAACATGCATCCAAGTTTGTGGTGGCATGCAGAAACTTTGACCAATCAGAGTAAAAGACTGAAAATATACTATGGAGAGCAGCCAAGGCTTCCTAATTCCTAATCCCTTCATCCATACATTAGGGAGGCAGTACTAGCCATTCTCTTAGAATACCCTACCTGTTTTATTCGGAACTGCTTGCAGATTTTGACATTTTCAGCGTGTACTGATTTTGCCTGCCAGTCATATCTTTTGGAAATCTTTTTCTTAAGGTTGACATAGCTCTCATCCTCCACCATCACTGGTGCTGGACCTTCATCCTCATCTGTCTCCTCCTCAGGCTCTGATTCTTTTTCAACTTGAAGGGGATAAAAGGACACGTTTTCGATATATGGAGCCCTTTCTTTAGCAAAGGGGGAAAGTCACTATCTAACAAAGTAACAACAACAACAAAATCATAAAATGGAGAAAAAGTTAAAGCTCAAATAAAACAAATTCATTCATTTCCACACTACTACTTCTACTGCTAAAGAATTTAAAATGCATCTTCAAATAAACTTATAATCAAATATAAATGGCTTTGCTGAAACCAAATTAAGAGCAAAGAAGAAAAAATCATGGCATGCCTTGTTAATTAAGGAATTAAATATTTGCAGGTGTCCCTAAATTTCCATGACACAAAATAACCCAAATGACTATCAAATGATTAATCAATCAATAAAATGTGGTATGGCCATGTAATGGAATATTACTCAGTAATAAAAAGGAATGAAGTACTGATACATGCTACAACATGGATGAACCTGGAAAACATTATGTATGCTAAGTGAAAGACACCCATTACAAAAAGCCATGTATTTACAGCATGATTTCATTTCCATGAAATGTCCAGAATAGGCAAATCCATAGAGACAGAATGTAGACTCATGGTTTTTAGGGCTTGGGGAAGGGGAGAAATGAGGAGTGACTTGCTAACAGGTATGGAGTTTCTTTATGGGGTGATGAAAATATCCCAGAATTAAACAGTGGTCATGGATGTGCAATTCTGTGATATACTAAAAATCACTGAATTGTACACTTCAAAAGGGTGAATTTCATGGTATGTAAATTATATATTAATAAAGCTGTTATCCCCTATCAAAATCCATGACACATAGTTTGTCATTTCTTGAGGAATACATCTGAGTCCCATATGCCAGAACTAGCTGCAAGCTGGGAGTAAGTAAGGGGCAGGTGAGTGAACCCAGCCAGCTGTCTAGCATCCACATCTTGGTGGTTTCACTGTTCTCTACCTGTTGGCATCTATCTGGGAACTCTTGGGAAATAATAAAAACTTGTTTCTCTGAATCCTATGGTGAACTTTGAAAGGGGGGTAACTTCTGTAGAGCACATCTGGATCTGGAGAAAACCACAGGCTTGTACAAACATTTCTCTATTTGAGGATTTAGAGATTCATAAAGAGAGCCCTGCCCTGATCAATTTTGGGGGTCTACCATGCTAAAAGCAGGAGGATATGGACAGTGGTCCAGAAAGAGAAGTATCTCTAAAAACTCATTTGAAAGTAATCCTATAGACAGTATCAGAAGTAATCACATGAAACCAAATGGATTAAATGAAGCAGATTTTCTGAAAGGATGCTTTAAGGTTCTTCCAGCCCTCACCTGCTAAAATGAGCTTATATACATCACTATAAACTTATGATTGATTCAGTGAGCTGGAATACAGTGACACAACTGGGCCTTACAATGAAAGTCAGGTCACAGTTCAGGGGATTCTCCTTCCTTTTTGCCCTTAAACTGAAGAGAATGACTTGCCTAAGATCACTGGAGATCCCAGATCAGCCCTCAAAACTTCTGATTTCTTTAATCCATCATTCCAAATGCCCCACTCCACAACACCCTCCACCTGGTCAGTGCCTTACGTACCTTCTGGAATTTGATTAGAAAAAAATGAATTACTTGGAATCACTGGTTTACGACAGACAGGATTATTTAGTCTGATTCCAGGTGATACTGGCACAAAGTTCACAGGAGGGACACTGTACTTGTGATGGGTATTTGTTAGTAACTTGGTTATTTCTGATTCTTCCTCTAAAAGAGTTATCAAAGAATATACAACAGGTTCTGAAGTTTCTGCAAATGTCAAGGCTTTGCCATAAAGGAACTCAGAAATATGTAAACGACAAGCCAGAGGTAGATTCTCATTGGTGGAATAAAATGCCAAAAGGGGAGCTTGGTAGGGGTATTTGTGGTCTTTAGAAAATCGAATTTCAAGTTCATATAAAAAGGATGCATCTTCATTAGCATTTAGATGAGAATCATCTACATTTCTTTCAACTCTTCCAACAATTTGATTTGGGGGCACTTCATGTTTAAATTTGCACCTTGATCCAAATTTACAATTTCCTTTGAGGTAAAATTTGCAGACTTCAAGTGAAGCCTCCTGTATATTTTTGGTACTTTCCTTTTGCTTGAGTTTGCAGAATTTACTTGTCAAATACTCCAGTTCTAATCCAATGGTCCAGACTCTGTTTTGAATTCTTTCTATAAATTTTTCTCCACAGATTGACTTGAGAGCAAATGCCTCTTCCTGTCGCTGTTCCACACACTCATCCAAGCTTATGTGCGCAACTGCCTCAGATATCTTCATCCTCTCTCCAAATGTCTCGGAAAAGCACTGGGTGAGCAGGTGTTCCAGTGATGCCCCCACGTCTCCATCGCAAATCCTCAGCGCTGCCTGACAGTGTTCAGTGTGGAAACCATACCTGCCACGTGTGAAACATGACAAAAAAAGACTAATATCAAAAAGTAATATCAAACCACAGAAGAGAAATTCATTTAAATACATGTACGTGGGGCTTCCCTGGTGGCTCAGTGGTAAAGAATCCACCTGCCAATGCAGGAGACGTGAGTTCGATCCCTGATCCAGTTAGATCCCACATGTTGGGGAGCAACTTAGCCCGTGTGCCACAACTATCGAGCCTGTGCTCTAGAGCCCAGGAGCCGCAACGACTGAGCCCATAAGCCCTAGAGCCCATGCTCCATAACAAGAGAAGCCACTTCAGTGAGAAGCCCATGCACTGCAACCAGAGTAGCTTCCGCTTCGCCACAACTAGAGAAAAGCCCACATAGCAATGAAGACCCAGCACAGCCAAAAATAAGTGAATAAATAAAACCATTAAAAAAAACCATACACGTGATGATATAAGTATAGACAGGCAGGGTCTGTATTCTGAAGAAGTCTCCCTGATAATACTAAGTCCTCCTTCATCTACCTATCCTAAAAGAGAGGCCACTGAGACTATCAAGTACTGCTAGGACCCATACCACAGGAAAGTATTACCACTAGGACCCACGCCACAGGAGAGGGTTACCAATGGGACCCACGCCACAGGAGAGGGTTACCGCTGGGACCCACGCCACAGGAGAGCGTTACCCCTGGACCCACGCCACAGGAGAGCGTTACCCCTGGACCCACGCCACAGGAGAGCGTTACCGCTGGGACCCACGCCACAGCAGAGCGTTACCGCTGGGACCCACGCCACAGCAGAGCGTTACCGCTGGGACCCACGCCACAGCAGAGCGTTACCGCTGGGACCCACGCCACAGGAGAGCGTTACCGCTGGGACCCACGCCACAGGAGAGCGTTACCGCTGGGACCCACGCCACAGCAGAGCGTTACCGCTGGGACCCACGCCACAGGAGAGCGTTACCGCTGGGACCCACGCCACAGGAGAGGGTTACCGCTGGGACCCACGCCACAGGAGAGCGTTACCGCTGGGACCCACGCCACAGCAGAGCGTTACCGCTGGGACCCACGCCACAGCAGAGCGTTACCGCTGGGACCCACGCCACAGCAGAGCGTTACCGCTGGGACCCACGCCACAGGAGAGCGTTACCGCTGGGACCCACGCCACCGGAGAGCGTTACCGCTGGGACCCACGCCACAGGAGAGCGTTACCGCTGGGACCCACGCCACAGGAGAGCGTTACCCCTGGACCCACGCCACAGGAGAGTGTTACCCCTGGACCCACGCCACAGGAGAGCGTTACCGCTGGGACCCACGCCACAGGAGAGCGTTACCGCTGGGACCCACGCCACAGCAGAGCGTTACCGCTGGGACCCACGCCACAGCAGAGCGTTACCGCTGGGACCCACGCCACAGGAGAGCGTTACCGCTGGGACCCACGCCACAGGAGAGTGTTATCCCTGGACCCACGCCACAGGAGAGCGTTACCGCTGGGACCCACGCCACAGGAGAGCGTTACCGCTGGGACCCACGCCACAGCAGAGCGTTACCGCTGGGACCCACGCCACAGCAGAGCGTTACCGCTGGGACCCACGCCACAGGAGAGGGTTACCGCTGGGACCCACGCCACAGGAGAGCGTTACCGCTGGGACCCACGCCACAGGAGAGCGTTACCGCTGGGACCCACGCCACAGGAGAGCGTTACCGCTGGGACCCACGCCACAGGAGAGGGTTATCCCTGGACCCACGCCACAGGAGAGTGTTATCCCTGGACCCACGCCACAGGAGAGCGTTACCGCTGGGACCCACGCCACAGAAGAGCGTTACCGCTGGGACCCACGCCACAGGAGAGCGTTACCGCTGGGACCCACGCCACAGGAGAGGGTTATCCCTGGACCCACGCCACAGGAGAGCGTTACCGCTGGGACCCACGCCACAGGAGAGTACTCAGGAAGAGGTAGTTGGGGTTACAATATGACTGTGTTTCCTTCAATTCTCCCACAAGTGATGAAAGCAAACCTGGAAAGTCTGTGCACTGCAAATGCTGACACTGTAAATTCCGGCCTGTGCGGCTCCACCAGGCCTGAGCCAGCGCATTCCAAAGGATCAGAGTCAGGAACCAGGGAAGCTTCTCGTCCAGGTGACCAGTACTGCTCGTCATCATAATCAGGCTCATCATCTTCTTCTTCCCCAGAAACACCTCTTCTGGCAAAAGTAACATTTTCATATATCATCTATTAATTTCTACTTGCTTCAAAGAAAAAATTGGTAAGGGTCTAAGAATTCACGGAACCAAACCACACAGGATCCTGACCACTATTGAGTCACTGATTTAATTCTTTATTGACGGAGGAGGAGCCAAGATGGCGGAGGAATAGGACGGGAGACCACTTTCTCTCCTATAAATTCATCGAAAGAACATTTGAATGCTGAGCAAATTTCACAAAACAACTTCTGATATCTAGCAGAGGACATCAGGCGCCCAGAAAAGCAGCCCATTGTCTTCGAAGGGAGGTAGGACAAAATATAAAGGATAGAAAGGGAGTCAAAAGAGCTACGGACGGAGACCCGTCCCGGGAAGGGAGTCTTAATAGAGGAAGTTTCCAATCACCAGGAAACCCTCGCACTGGCGGGACTGGGGGAAGTTTTCAGCAATCTAACTGGGAGGAAAAATTAAACAAGGCCCACAGATTATGTGCCTAAAAGCAACTCCCAGCAGAAAAGTACCCCAGACGCCCGTACCCGCCAGCAACAAGCGGGGGCGGGACGGAGAGGAGCGGGCAGCATTGCTTAGGGTAAGGACTGGCCCGAAGACCCTGAGAGCAATCGGAGGGAGCTTTTTTAAACTGTGGGATAGCAAGGGTCAAAATTAACAGGCCCGAACACACTGCCGGCGGTTCGCAAAACAAAGGGACTGAGAAAGTCCAGAGAAGAGCCGGCCCATCCCCGCTGGAGGTTGGAGGCAGGGGGGAGGGGAAAAGGGCAAACAGCCCCTGAGAAGCCACCCCCTCCCACACTGCAAACAGGCCCCCGGTTCCCATCTAAAGACCTCCTGAGACCCGACTGGCGGTGCGCGCTGGGGCCGCGGAGGGAAAAAGCGCGCCGTACCCGGGGAGAGTGCGCCCAAGCCTCTGGCTGCCTGAGCTGCCCGCCGCGGAGGGAAAAGGCGCGCCGCATCCGGAGAGAGTGCGCCCAAGCCTCTGGCTGCCTGGGCCGCTCGCCGCGGAGGGAAAAGGCGCGCCACACCCAGGGAGAGTGCGCCCAAGCCTCTGGCTGCCTGAACCGCTCAGGCCGGGGAAGGCACAAAACGCAGACGCAACCGAATCTGCGCTTTTGTGGAGTACCCGAAAACTGGAACCGCACTCAATGCAGGGCCCACTCCATATAGAGCAGCCGGGAGCCTGCGCAGTGTAGACAGCAAAAGCACTGACACCCGTGAGCGGGGCAGACCCAGTGTGACCGGAACACGGTGAGTGCTATCCACACAGAGCGGTGTCTGTCTGCAGCGCCCCGCCCTCCCCGTAGCAGGACTGAACTGAACTAGAGAACCTAAATAAGAGATCACCTCCACCCGCCTGTGTCAGGGCGGAAATTAGACACCGAAGAGACGGCAAACAGAAGCCAAATAAACAAAGGGAACCGCTTCAGAAAGGACCGGTGCAACAGATTAAAATCCCTGAAGGTAACACCGACTACACCAGAAGGGGCCTACAGATATCGAGAAGTGTAAGCTGGAAAGAGGAGCTATCTGAAATTGAACTGAACCTACACTGACTGCAACAACTCCAGAGAAATTCCTAGATATATATATATATATTTTTTTTTAATTTAAAAAAAAAAAAATTTTTTTCTATCCTTTTTTTTTTCTCTTTTATTTTCTTTTAAAATTCCCTATTACTCCCCCATTACTCCTCAACTTTCATTTTCATATATTTTTATGATTTTTTTAATTAGGGAAAAAAATTTTTTTTTCTTTTTTTTTCTTTTTCTTGTTTTTCTCTCCTATTTCCTTTTAAAGTCCTCTAATACTCCTCTATTATTCCTTAATTTTCATTTTCATTTCACTATAACCTTGCCAAAAAAAAAAAAAGAGAGAGAGAGAGAAAAACCCTATTTTTAAACAAACTTCATATACATTTCTAAATTTTTTTGTGTGTTTTTATTTTTAAATATTGTATTTCAAAGAGTCTAACCTCTACACTAGATTTTTAATCTTTGTTTTTCAGTAGTATGTGATATAAATTTTGGTCATTTAAGAATCCAATATTCAGTTCCCATTTCTATTCAGGAGTGTGGTGATTACTCTCCCACTTTTGATTCTCTGTTTTCTACCTCGGAACACCTCTATTTCCTCCTTTCCCCTTCTCTTCCCAATCCAACTCTGTGAATCTTTGTGGGTGTCTGGGCTACGGAGAACACTTTGGGAACAGATAACTGCGTAGATCTGTCTCTCTCCTCTTGAGTCCCCTTTTTCTCCTCCTGATCACCTCTATCTCCTTCCTCCCTCTCCTATTCTTCATGTAACTCTGTGAACCTCTCTGGTTGTCTCTCACGGTGGAGAATCTTTTCACCATTAACTTAGAAGTTTTATTATCAGTGCTGTATAGTTGGAGAAGTCTTGAGACTATTGGAAGAACAAAACTGAAATCCAGAGGCAGGAGACTTAAGCCCAAATCTTGAGAAAACCAGAAAACTCCTGACTACACGGAACATTAAGGAATAAGAGACCATCCAAAAGCTTCCATACCTACACCAAAACCAACCACCACCCAAGAGCCAATAAGCTCCAGTACAAGATATACCACGCAAATTCTTTAGCAACGCAGAAACATAGACCTGAGTGTCAACATACAGGCTCTCCAAAGTCACACCTAACACATAGATCCATCGCAAAACTCATTACTGGACACTCCATTGCACTCCAGAGAGAAGAAATCCAATTCCACGCACCAGAACGCTGACACAAGCTTCCCTAACCAGGAAACCTTGACAAACCAATCGTCCAACCCCACCCACTGGGTGAAACCTCCACAATAAAAAGGAACCTCAGACCACAAGAATACAGAAAGCCCACTCCAGCCCACTCCACAGCAATCTAAACAAGATGAAAAGGCAGAGAAATACCCAACAGCTAAAGGAACATGAAAAAAGCCCACCAAGTCAAACAAAAGAGGAGGAAATAGGGAATCTACCTGAAAAAGAATTTAGAATAATAATAATAAAAATGATCCAAAATCTTGAAAACAAAATGGAGTTACAAATAAATAGCCTGGAGACAGAGATTGAGAAGATGCAAGAAAGGTTTAATAAGGACCTAGAAGAAATAAAAAAAAGTCAATTAAAAATTAATAATGAAATAAATGAGATCAAAAACACTCTGGAGGGAACCATGAGTAGAATAACAGAGACAGAAGATAGGATAAGTGAGTTAGAAGATAAAATGGTGGAAATAAATGAAGCAGAGAGGAAAAAAGAAAAAAGAATCAAAAGAAATGAGGACAACCTCAGGGACCTCTGGGACAATGTGAAACGCCCCAACATTCGAATCATAAGAGTCCCAGAAGAAGACAAAAAGAAAGGCCATGAGAAGATACTCGAGGAGATAATAGCTGAAAACTTCCCTAAAATGGGGAAGGAAATAGCCACCCAAGTCCAAGAAACCCAGAGAGTCCCAAACAGGATAAACCCAAGGCGAAACACCCCAAGACACATATTAATCAAATTAACAAAGATCAAACACAAAGAACAAATATTAAAAGCAGCAAGGGAGAAACAACAAATAACACACAAAGGGATTCCCATAAGGATAACAGCTGATCTATCAATAGAAACCCTTCAGGCCAGAAGGGAATGGCAGGACATACTTAAAGTAATGAAAGAGAATAACCTACAACCTAGATTACTCTACCCAGCAAGGATCTCATTCAGATATGAAGGAGAACTCAAAAGCTTTACAGACAAGCAAAAGCTGAGAGAATTCAGCACCACCAAACCAGCTCTTCAACAAATATTAAAGGATCTTCTCTAGACAGGAAACACAGAAAGGTGGTATAAACGTGAACCCCAAACAACAAAATAAATGGCAACGGGACCATACCTATCAATAATTACCTTAAATGTAAATGGGTTGAATGCCCCAACCAAAAGACAAAGGCTGGCTGAATGGATAAAAAAGCAAGACCCCTATATATGCTGTCTACAAGAGACCCACCTCAAAGCAAGGGACACATACAGACTAAAAGTGAAGGGCTGGAAAAAAATATTCCACGCAAACGGAGACCAAAAGAAAGCAGGAGTCGCAACACTCATATCAGATAAAATAGACTTTCAAATAAAGGCTGTGAAAAGAGACAAAGATGGACACTACATAATGATCAAAGGATCAATCCAAGAAGAAGATATAACAATTATAAATATATATGCATCCAACATAGGAGCACCGCAATATGTAAGGCAAACGCTAACGAGTATGAAAGAGGAAATTAATAGTAACACAATAATAGTAGGAGACTTTAATACCCCACTCACAACTATGGATAGATCAACTAAACAGAAAATGAACAAAGAAGCACAAACTTTAAAGGACACAATGGACCAGCTAGACCTAATTGACATCTATAGGACGTTTCACCCCAAAACAATCAACTTCACCTTTTTCTCAAGTGCACACGGAACCTTCTCCAGAATAGATCACATCCTGGGCCATAAATCTAGTCTTGGTAAATTCAAAAAGATTGAAATCATTCCAGTCATCTTTTCTGACCACAGTGCAGTAAGATTAGATCTTAATTACAGGAAAAAAATTATTAAAAATTCAAACATATGGAGGCTAAACAACACGCTTCTGAATAACCAACAAATCATAGAAGAAATCAAAAAAGAAATCAAAATATGCATAGAAATGAATGAAAATGAAAACACAACAATCCAAAACCTATGGGACACTGTAAAGGCAGTGCTAAGGGGAAGATTCATAGCATTACAGGCCTACCTCAAGAAACAAGAAAAAAGTCAAATAAATAACCTAACTCTACACCTAAAGCAACTAGAGGAGGAAGAAATGAAGAACCCCAGGGTTAGTAGAAGGAAAGAAATCTTAAAAATCAGGGCAGAAATAAATGCAGAAGAAACTAAAGAGATCATAGTAAAAATTAACAAAGCTAAAAGCTGGTTTTTTGAAAAAATAAACAAAATTGACAAACCATTAGCAAGACTTATTAAGAAACAAAGGGAGAAGAACCAAATTAACAAAATTAGAAACGAAAATGGAGAGATCACAACAGACAACACCGAAATACAAAGGATCATAAGAGACTACTACCAGCAGCTCTATGCCAATAAAATGGACAACTTGGAAGAAATGGACAAGTTCTTAGAGAAGTATAACTTTCCAAAACTGAACCAGGAAGAAATAGAAGATCTTAACAAACCCATCACAAGCAAGGAAATCGAAACTGTAATCAGAAACCTTCCAGCAAACAAAAGCCCAGGACCAGATGGCTTCACAGCTGAATTCTACCAAAAATTTAGAGAAGAGCTAACACCTATCTTACTCAAACTCTTCCAGAAAATTGCAGAAGAAGGTAAACTTCCAAACTCATTCTATGAGGCCACCATCACCCTAATTCCAAAACCAGACAAAGATGCCACAAAAAAAGAAAACTACAGGCCAATATCACTGATGAACATAGATGCAAAAATCCTTAACAAAATTCTAGCAAACAGAATCCAACAACATATTAAGAAAATCATACATCATGACCAAGTGGGCTTTATCCCAGGAATGCAAGGATTCTTTAATATCCGCAAATCAATCAAATTAATACACCACATTAACAAATTGAAAGATAAAAACCATATGATTATCTCAATAGATGCAGAAAAAGCCTTTGATAAAATTCAACATCCATTTATGATTAAAACTCTCCAGAAAGCAGGAATAGAAGGAACATACCTCAACATAATAAAAGCTATATATGACAAGCCCACAGCAAGCATCACCCTCAATGGTGAAAAAGTGAAAGCATTTCCCCTGAAATCAGAAACAAGACAAGGGTGCCCACTCTCACCACTACTATTCAACATAGTTTTGGAAGTTTTGGCCACAGCAATCAGAGCAGAAAAAGAAGTAAAAGGAATCCAGATAGGAAAAGAAGAAGTGAAACTCTCGCTGTTTGCAGATGACATGATCCTCTACATAGAAAATCCTAAAGACTCTACCAGAAAATTACTAGAGATAATCAACGAATACAGTAAAGTTGCAGGATATAAAATTAACACACAGAAATCTCTTGCATTCCTATACACTAACAATGAGAAAACAGAAAGAGAAATTAAGGAAACAATACCATTCACCATTGCAACAAAAAGAATAAAATACTTAGGAGTATATCTACCTAAAGAAACAAAAGACCTATACATAGAAAACTATAAAACACTGATGAAAGAAATCAAAGAGGACACAAACAGATGGAGAAATATACCGTGTTCATGGATTGGAAGAATCAATATTGTCAAAATGGCTATACTACCCAAAGCAATCTACAGATTCAATGCAATCCCTATCAAACTACCAACGATATTTTTCACAGAACTAGAACGAATAATTTCACAATTTGTATGGAAATACAAAAAACCTCGAATAGCCAAAGTAATCCTGAGAAAGAAGAATGGAACTGGAGGAATCACTCTGCCTGACTTCAGACTATACTACAAAGCCACAGTCATCAAGACAGTATGGTACTGGCACAAAGACAGAAATATAGATCAATGGAACAGAATAGAAAGCCCAGAGATAAATCCACGAACCTATGGTCACCTTATCTTCGACAAAGGAGGCAAGGATATACAATGGAAAAAAGACAACCTCTTTAACAAGTGGTGCTGGGAAAACTGGTCAACCACCTGTAAAAGAATGAAACTAGAACACTTTCTAACACCATACACAAAAATAAACTCAAGATGGATTAAAGATCTAAATGTAAGACCAGAAACTATAAAACTCCTAGAGGAGAACATAGGCAAAACACTCTCCGACATAAATCACAGCAGGATCCTCTATGACCCACATCCCAGAATTTTAGAAATAAAAGCAAAAATAAACAAATGGGACCTAATGAAACTTAAAAGCTTTTGCACAACAAAGGAAACTATAAGCAAGGTGAAAAGACAGCCCTCAGATTGGGAGAAAATAATAGCAAATGAAGCAACAGACAAAGGATTAATCTCAAAAATATACAAGCAACTCCTCCAGCTCAACTCCAGAAAAATAAATGACCCAATCAAAAAATGGGCCAAAGAACTGAACAGACATTTCTTCAAGGAAGACATACAGATGGCTAAGAAACACATGAAAAGATGCTCAACATCACTCATTATCAGAGAAATGCAAATCAAAACCACAATGAGGTACCATTACACACCAGTCAGGATGGCTGCTATCCAAAAGTCTACAAGCAATAAATGCTGGAGAGGGTGTGGAGAAAAGGGAACCCTCTTACACTGTTGGTGGGAATGCAAATTAGTACAGCCACTATGGAAAACAGTGTGGAGATTTCTTAAAAAGCTGGAAATAGAACTGCCATATGACCCAGCAATCCCACTTCTGGGCATACACACCGAGGAAACCAGATCTGAAAGAGACACGTGTACCCCAATGTTCATCGCAGCACTGTTTATAATAGCCAGGACATGGAAGCAACCTAGATGCCCATCAGCAGATGAATGGATGAGGAAGCTGTGGTACATATACACCATGGAATATTACTCAGCCATTAAAAAGAATTCATTTGAATCAGTTCTAATGAGATGGATGAAACTGGAGCCCATTATACAGAGTGAAGTAAGCCAGAAAGATAAAGACCATTACAGTATACTAACACATATATATGGAATTTAGAAAGATGGTAACGATAACCCTATGTGCAAAACAGAAAAAGAGACTCCTATGTATAGAACAGACTTGTGGACTCTGGGAGAAGGCGAGGGTGGGATGTTTCAAGAGAACAGCATTGAAACACATATATTATCTAGGGTGAAACAGTTCACCAGCCCAGGTTGGGTGCATGAGACAAGTGCTCGGGCCTGGTGCACTGGGAAGACCCAGAGGGATTGGGTGGAGAGGGAGGTGGGAGGGGGGACCGGGATGGGGAATACATGTAAAAAAAAAAAGAAAAAAAGATACACTATGGTTGTGATAAAAAAAAATTAAATAAATAAATAAATAAATAAATAATTAAAAAAAAAAATAAGAATCCAATATTCAGTTCCCATTTCTATTCAGGAGTGTGGTGATTACTCTCCCACTTTTGACTCTCTGTTTTCTACCTCAGAACACCTCTATTTCCTCCTTTCCCCTTCTCTTCCCAATCCAACCCTGTGAATCTTTGTGGGTGTCTGGGCTACGGAGAACACTTTGGGAACAGATAACTGTGTAGATCTGTCTCTCTCCTCTTGAGTCCCCTTTTTCTCCTCCTGCTCACCTCTATCTCCGTCCTCCCTCTCCTATTCTTCATGTAACTCTGGGAACCTCTCTGGTTGTCTCTCACGGTGGAGAATCTTTTCACCATTAACCTAGAAGTTTTATTATCAGTGCTGTATAGTTGGAGAAGTCTTGAGACTATTGGAAGAATAAAACTGAAATCCAGAGGCAGGAGACTTAAGCCCAAATCTTGAGAAAACCAGAAAACTCCTGACTACACGGAACATTAAGGAATAAGAGACCATCCAAAAGCTTCCATACCTACACCAAAACCAACCACCACCCAAGAGCCAATAAGCTCCAGTACAAGACATACCACGCAAATTCTTTAGCAACGCAGAAACATAGACCTGAGTGTCAACATACAGGCTCTCCAAAGTCACACCTAACACATAGATCCATCGCAAAACTCATTACTGGAAATCCAATTCCACGCACCAGAACGCTGACACAAGCTTCCCTAACCAGGAAACCTTGACAAACCAATCGTCCAACCCCACCCACTGGGTGAAACCTCCACAATAAAAAGGAACCTCAGACCACAAGAATACAGAAAGCCCACTCCAGACACCGCAATCTAAACATGATGAAAAGGCAGAGAAATACCCAACAGCTAAAGGAACATGAAAAAAGCCCACCAAGTCAAACAAAAGAGGAGGAAATAGGGAATCTACCTGAAAAAGAATTTAGAATAATGATAATAAAAATGATCCAAAATCTTGAAAACAAAATGGAGTTACAAATAAATAGCCTGGAGACAAAGATTGAGAAGATGCAAGAAATGTTTAACAAGGACCTAGAAGAAATTAATTCTTTATTGACCTAGTAACATATATTGGCAATTAATAGCATGTATTACGTGCCAGGCACTATGTTAAATGTTTTATATGTACTATCTCTTTGAAAATCTTCACAACAACCCAGCCAGATACTACTGGAATCTCCATTTTTTTCTTTCCCAGATGATCAACTAAAACTTAAAGAGACAATTAATAACTAAAGGTTACACCGTAAAGGACAACTAGTTGCTGAATAATTGTTCTTGTTTTTCTCTTGGCTCACTTTCAACTAGTTACATAGCCACAACACGATTAGTACTGACACAGTATTCCAAAGATACACAGGACCCTCACATTTTATCTTCCTCAATATAATAATTTATTCAAATATAATAATTTACTCAGATCCAGCATCCACATCTTGTTCCTGCAGGTCTCGGAGAAGAGCTTTCACTTTTTCTTGATTCTCAGAAGTCATATGTAGAGTCTGCAGGGGCACTTTGGCTTCGGGCTTCCATTTGGGGCGTGCATCCCCTTTTCTCACGCTACTGTTACTAGGTCTGCAAAGGACACAAGAACAAAATTACACACTTCATTTGTTATCAGAATTTTTACAGTCTCCTCAGGGTCTCCATACATACACAATATGATTGGATTGTCATGTATCTTATGAAAGGGGACATGAATGTGGAGAGAGCCTCCATTTTCTATAATATTTACTCAACTTCATTATATTCTAAACGCTGGGAAAAAGCCTGATCAGATTCTTCATCATTAAATCTTGCTTCACCAACTCAAGAATCTTCTGGGGAAAGCAATGCTGTGATGACTCCTGCACCAGTGGACTTTCACAAGAAATATGCTATGTACAAAGAGTATATATTTCACTCTATTTGAGGTACTTAATCTGAAAACAACTAAGAGTCCTATCTTGTGACTATTAGGCCCTATTTTTTGAAATATTTATTTAAATTTTTTACTTCCTGGTTACAAATATAATAATACATGTTTACTGTAGAAAAGTAGAGAATAAAGAACAGAAAACATCTTAACTAATATCATTCCTTTTCAAGTACATTTTTTATAAAATTATCCAGCATATGTAATTTTTTATAATCTGCTTTATTTCCTTATTAAAATCAAACTGGCATTTCCCCAAAATTAAACATTTTCCTACAACTTAATTTTTAAATTTAAACACAGAGGGACTAGAATTTATTTCACTATTCACTATTTCACTAATCTCATATTTGGAATTTAGAGTTTTTTAGGGACACTTTTTAATATTTAAAAAAATAATGGATTCTAAAGTTTCCTTTACTCACTAAGTTTCTTTTCTTTTTTTCACTCGGCATGTTTCATTATAAATTTTTACAAATCTAGGGAAATCGTAGAAACGTCTCTGTACTGAAAATCCAACATATTACTAAGACTTTGAAAAGAACCACACATAAATGAATAAAAAAAAGAAAAGAACCACACATTTACACTCTCTCAACTGGGTAGCAAAGGAGAAAATAGAAGAGACTGGGATTTTTAACCACATAATTGCAACTTCTAAAACAAATGTTATCCAAAATTCATCATTTCCACTTTTTGTTTCAAAGAATTGTTAATCTATAAAAATGTATAGCATTTATTAAGATTCACCAATAACTGTTAACACCTGCCATACTTATATGCACACACACATTTACACCCTTCTCTTATTTCCTCTCTATATGCACACATATATGCATATATATATAAATGTTCCCCCATATAGACACATGCATGTTCTCAACCATCTGAATGTAAGCTGCTGACAGCATATTCACTCATAAATACTTCTGCATGTTATTTCCTAAGAACAGAGACAAACTTTTATATAACCATAATACTATTATCACTCACAAGACATCAATATTTTATATTGATCTCATCTAACATATCATTTAATTTTATATTGGTATCATCACATCACGGCAAACATGGAGAAACAAAGGAAACAGTGACAGATTTTATTTTTTTGGACCAAAATCACTGCAGATGGTGACTGCAGCCATGAAATTAAACGACACTTTCTCCTTGGAAGAAAAGCTATGACCAACCTAGACAACATACTAAAAAGCAGAGATGTTACTTTGCCAACAAAGGTCCGTCTAGTCAAAGCTATGGTTTTTCCAGTAGTCATGTATGGATGTGAGAGTTGGACCATAAAGAAAGCTGAGCACTGAAGAATTGATGCTTTTGAACTGTGGTGTTGGAGAAGACTCTTGAGAGTCCCTTGGACTGCAAGGAGATCAAACCAGACAATCCTAAACGAAATCAGTCCTGAATATTCACTGGAAGGACTGATGCTGAAACTGAAACTCCAATACTTTGGGCCACCTGATGTGAAGAACTGATTCATTGGAAAAGATCCTGATGCTGGGAAAGACTGAAGGCAGGAGGAGAAGGGAATGACAGAGGATGAGATGGTTGGATGGCATCACCGACTCAATGAACCTGAGTTTGAGCAAGCTCTGGGAGTTGGTGATGGACAGGGAAGCCTGGTGTGCTGCAGTTCATGGGGTTGCAAAGAGTCAGACAAGACTGAGCAACTGAACTGAACTGATATTCAAAGTTCCTAATTGCCTCAAATCACATCTACAGATTTTCTTATTATCTAGTTAAAAATGACATTATCTGTTTTTCAAACTCCTTTAATTTAGTTCCCTATTTCCTGATATTGACTTTTTTTTTGACGCACTCAGGCCAGTTTTTTTGTAGAATTCTCATAATTTGGATTTATCTGTTTCTTCATGATAAGTGAAAAAAACGGGGGGGTGGGGGAGACCTTCCATATGCTATTTCATCTACCACTTATTCGTAAACCTCGAGACTTTGCCTTCCTTCCTGTTACTAAGGATGAACCATTCTTGATCCTAAAAGTCAGTCCCTCTGTTTGTATATTGTATCTCAATTTGTTCAATCTCCTTAAGGAAATCATTCCAGCACTTATCCCCCTCTCTACATCATCAGTTCTTCATTCTCTTTTGGATCACTTCCACCAGCATACATACACGCTATGTAACATCTACCATATTAAAAAAAAAAATCTTCCCTTTGACTTTATATTCCCCTCAAGGTATTGTCCTATCCATCTTCCCGCCCCTGCCCTTTACAGTAAAACTCCCCAAAAGTGTTCTCTAAATCATGTCTTTGTCGCCACTTTTTATCTTCTGAAACACACTCTATACCAACTATACTATACCAAACAGCTCTTGTCTACCCACATTGCCAAATCCAGTGGACAACAGTCAGAACACATTTTCCTTTTCTTTTGGCCATGCTGCACGGCTAGTAGGATCTTAGCTTCCAACCAGGGATTACCTAGCAGTGAAAGTGCCAAGTCCTAACCACTGAACCACCAAGGGAACTACCATTTTTCTTGACCTACTAGAAGCATTTTTTTATACAACTTGTATATCCCTTTAAAGTATCCAATCCAATCTGATTGGATAACCCCCTTTAAAACACCTTCCTTCCTTCCATCTGACTTCCAGAAATCAGCTTTTAGTTTTCCTTCTACTTCACTGGCAACTTCTCAATCTACTTTGTCTGATTCTCCTAACCTTTCAACCCTAAATCCTAAAGTGCCCAAGGGCTCAAAATTCAAACCTCTTCTCTATATCCTATCTCATTTAGTCTCATAGCTTTAAATAGTACTTACTCAGAAGGAACTCATACATTTACTTCTCTAGTCGAGATCTTGCTCTTGAACTCCAGACATATTATTAAACTGTCTAGGACACTGCCACTGGGAGAGTACCTTCTAACTGGTCTTCCTGCTTCCACTCATGTCCCCTTGCAGTCGATTTTCCACAGCACACTGAGGCAGGGCTGCTGAGTATGGAAGCACAGACTGCACACTATGCAAAGGGTCCTGAAGCAGAGCAGGAGGGGACAGCAAGAGCTGAAATCCACTGTGTTCTCTGCTTGCCAAGACATGCATTCTGGAGCTATAACTGACCAGAGAAAGGGGCATTTTCTAATTCACATTCACCATTTTCTAATTCACATAAAAGGATATAATTAATGGCAGTAACTCTGGCCAGAGTGATTGATGACCAATACTCTCGCCTCAAACCCTTCAATGGCTTCCCATCTTACTCAAAGCAAAAGCAAAGTCCTTATAATAGCTTTTCAGCCATGGTACACAACTTGGCTCAATCTACTTCAACATGCTGACAAACCTCAAGGTTGGTGCTTGAAAGAAGCTTTTCAGGTAGATAAGGTGCATCTGCAGAGTACATTTTGCAAAATGCTGGGCTGGATGAATCACAAGCTTGAATCAAGATTGCTGGGAGAAATATCAACAACTTCACATATGCATATGATAACACTCTAATGCAGAAAGTGAGGAGGAACTAAAGAGTCTTTTGATGAGGGTGAAAGAGGAGAGTGAGAAAGCAAGCTTAAACCCAACATTCAAAAAACTAAGATCATGGCATCTGGTCCCATCACTTCATGGCAAATAGATGGGGAAAAAGTGGAAACAGTGGCATTTTATTTTCTTGGGCTGCAAAATCACTGCAGATGGTGACTACAGCCATGAAATTAAAAGAGCTTGCTCCTTGGAAGGAAAGCTATGACAAACCTAGACAGTGTATTAAAAAGCAAAGACATCACTCTGCTGACAAACATCTGTATAGTCAAAGCTATGATTTTGCCAGTAGTCAAGTACGGACATGAGAGTTGGGCCATAAAGAAGTCTGAGCACCAAAGAATTGATGCTTTCAAACTATGGTGCTAGAGAAGACTCTTGAGAGTCCCTTGAACAGCAAGGAGACTACATCAGTCAATCCTAAAGGAAATTAACCCTGAATATTCATTGGAAGGACTGATGCTGAAGCTGAAGCCTCAATACTCTGGCCACCTGATCCGACGAGCTGACTCATTGGAAAGAATCCTGATGCTGGGAAAGAGTGAAGGCAAGAGGAGAAGGGGATGACAGAGGATGAGATGGTTGGATGGTATCACTGACTCAATGGACATGAGTTTGAGCAAACTCCAGGAGATAGTGAAGGAAGGGCAGTCTGGCATGCTGCAATCCATGCGGTCACAAAAAGTTGGACACGCTTAGCAACTGGACAACAACAAGGTATATCTGAACATGAGATGACTGACATAAACAGAACAGATGTTTCGGCTTTCCTTGTCCCTTTCATGGTGGCAGCAGAGGTGGTCTTTTGAGAAGGTGTCAGATATCTGTGAGAATATATATTTGCCCCATAGAGAATTTCTGTAGAATTCAATTCCATTATTTAAAATAGTTTTTCTACCAAACAGCCCCAGGCTGAAGATTGACACAGGAACTAGACTAGCTATTCTGCAACTATCTTAAGACAACTTTATGAACTGTGCTTTAATTTTCAAAGGTTATGTTAAAATCCCAATTCTTTTGATTAAAGATTATACGTTCCAAAGTATCCTTTTAAAAACTTGAATTTTGGGAATACTCTGGCTGTCCAGTGGTTAGAACTCTGCGCTTTCACTGCAGAGGGCCCAGGTTTGATCTTTGGTAAGGGAACTAAGCCATACAGCAAGCCACACAGGTTGGCCAAAAAACCAACTAAACAAATAACCACACACAAAGAAGAAAACCCCTTGGTTTTATGTGCTTAGTTCTTCTACAATAAAACATTTTAGTAACTAAATCTGATCCTGTTGACAGAAAACAGATCAACGCATTCCTAAGGATCAGGGAGTTTATTGCAAAGGGCATGGGCGAGTTTTGAAGAACTGCTGGTTACAGAGATGACTGCATTTGTCAAATTTTAGGGTGAGCTTTACTGAATGTAAATTACACTTCAATAAACATGATTTTTAAAACTCAAAAACAAAACAAAATCCTTACACTGGCCTATAAGATTCTACACAGCACAGTCTGATGAATCTAACTGCCTAACACTTCTTACCCATCCATGCTAGCCACATGGCTTCCTCTTCATTCCCTAAATCTTCTTAAAACTCCTGCCTCAGGAACTGGTTTCACTTGCTATTCTGTCTCAAACACTCTTCCCTCAGATAGATTCATGGCTTACTCCTTCACTTCTTTTGTGTCCTGGCTCAAATGACACATCAAGAGAGAAGTCTTCTCTGATCACTCCACAGAAAGGAGCAACCATTCACCAGCAACCCAGGCTGGCGCTTTCTATTCCTTTGCCCTTTTCTCCATAGTACTTACACTATTGTGACACCTTTGTTTGCAGTTTTTATATCTCAGACTTCCTTCTACAAACACCAGGACAATATTTTATTCGTTGTTGTGATCCTGGTCACTGAAACACTGTCTGGCTCACAGTAGGCACTAAGTCAATATTTCCTGCGTGAATGAACATCTAAGACCCCAAGAACCTATGAAGAAAGTGTTTTCAGAAAGAATGGAGCTGCATCTAACTCAGCAGTTAGGTTCTTAGGTCAGCAGCTAATGTGAAAATATAGCTTTAAATTATTCTGGAAGATTTCTTAAAAGGGAACCAAGTTTGAGACTGATATATTATCTTTCAGTATGTCCAAAAATGACCATTTTTCATTTAGAATGGAAAAAAAATGTAGATTCTCTGGTTGCATACCAAGTGAAGTATTTGGTTATGGTACAGACTATGTATAAGAAATATATATTTAAGAAATACACATTAATATCACATACTCAGTGCATCAAGAAGCTTAAACTATATAAAGCACTTGGACACTGAGACTGACAGGAATGAGCACCTTCCTCTCTCATTATCCTGTTCATGATGGAGCTCAGATTCATTCAGTGGCAAGTTTAACTACTTAAATACCATTTGTTCTTCTTATCTTTTTTTCCTGAATGCATACAATTGAATTCATTTAAATTAAAAGCCAGGTATGATGCAGTTAAACTTCAGCACTCACCTATATTTCTAACCAATATTTAGTTGGTAATTATTCCCACAAGAGTGTGTGTATGCCTGTGTTTATATACATAACTCTAAAGAGGTCTCACTATCTCTAAAAATTTAAGTAAACATCTTAAAGTGCAATTTGAAAAACAATGAGATGCATAACATGCAGTAGAAAATCTTTACTTTCATTAAACATGTATTAGAATTATTGGAATTTATGCAGAGTACATCACGTGAAATGCTGGGCTGGAAGAATCATAATCTGAAATCAAGATTGCCAGGAGAAATATCAACAACCTCAGATAGGCAGATGATATTACTATTAATGGCAGAAAGCTAAGAGAAACTAAAGAGCCTTTGGATGAGGGTGAAAGAGGAGAATGAAAAAGCTGGCTTGAAACTCAACATTAAAAAAACTAAAGTCATGGCATCTGGTCCTATCACTTCATGGCAAATAGAAGGGGAAATAGTGGAAGGAGAGAGAGATTTTATTTTCTTGGGCTCCAAAATCACTGAGGACTGAAAGTAAAAGATGCTTGCTCCTTGGAAGGAAAGCTATGACAAACCTAGAAAGTGTATTAAAAACAGAGACATCACTCTGTTGACAAAGGTGGTCATATACAGATGTGAGGTTTGGATCATAAAGAAGGCTTAGTGCCAAAGAATTGATGCTTTCAAAATGTGGTGCTGGAGGTAACTCTTGAGAGTCCCTTGGACTGTAAGGAGACCAAATCAGTTAATCCTAAAGGAAATCAACCTTGAATATTCATTAGAAGGACTGATGGTGAAACTCTAATGCTTGGCCACCTGATGTGAAGAGGTGACTCACTGGAAAAGATGCCGATGCTGGGAAAAGTTGAAAGCAAAAGGAGAAGGGGCAGCAAAGGATGAGATGGTTAGGTAGCATCACCGACTCAAAGGACATGAATTTGAGCAAACCCTGGGAGATAGTGGAGGACAGAAGAGCCTGGTGTGCTGCAGTCCATGAGGTTGTCAAGAGTTGGACATGACTTAAGTGACTGAACAACAACAAAACAACGTTCACTAATGAAAAGTTGACTATGAGAGAAGCCTGGGTATGATATCTATCTCTGGTCATCACATTAAGCTTCAGTAAATATTTGGTTGATTGGTTGGAAAATAGATAATTCATCAACTAAGCAGAAGGGATATAGCCAGATCTCATTTGGGGACCTTTAAACTACAATGCCTAAGAAATACTTAATATAATTTTCAATTACCCTCACCATTTCCAATATTTACTTTTCTGTAATATTGATTACAATAACAATATTACACTCAATTTACAGTGTCATATGGAAGTTAAAGTTAAGCTCAGATTTCAATGCTCACCCCTCTCCCAAAGGTATTATTTACCATCACGCTTTTAAAAAAATTCACAAAGCAGGGGACTGCAGGGCTTTAAAATAAGAGGAAGAGTAACTTAGCCAGAATTACTTGGCATTTTCCCTCTTTGTCTTAATAACCATCTTTTGTCCCATACATTAGGAATTGGTACTGTTTTCATATTTGAACATTCAATGAGTATAATAACCTGGATGAATGCCTTGATTCACTGAAGATACAAAAGTCATCGCCATCGTCCCAGATCCTACTTGATGCCTTTCTATTGCCACCAATGCCACCGCCACTGCTGCCGCCCCCGTGAGATTTACTAGCATGGCTCCTGCCTCCTCTTCCTCCTCTGGAAGACCCTTTTCCACCTCCTTTCCCTGGCTTGCCTTTCCTTCTTACTGAAGAACTCATTTTCACCTGCAAGAGAAAAAATACAGACATCAGAAAACCAGATAGGTATAATAATTCTTTGTCAAAGTTAAGGATATAGCCTACTTTAAAGAAGAAAAAGGAAAACACACTCAAAGGGCCAGTTTAGAAGACGCATGAACAACCTGCTTCACAAAAGATTAATAAGCACATCTTCCCAGGACTAATATTTAATAAGTTTCTCTGACACAAGTTTCTTAACCAGGAGGTGCATCAGAAACACATGGAGAAGTTTTCAAATCACACATGGAGTGTGTAGGGTCCCATGCTACATTCTAATTTGGTTAGGTCTGGCATGGGGTTTAAAAACCCTAGAAGAGATGTTTCATGTATTTAATATATGATTTGATAAATAAAATTTATATTTACATATATATATTTTTAGAAACAGCTCTGGCTAAGAGATTGTGCCTGGAGGGGAGTAAAAGTGTAAAACTCTTGTATGCGATCCAAGTTAAGAAGCTATCAGCTTAAAGTAGAATGTTATAAGATGTCTTACATTAGCCTCATGGTAAAAAACAAACAAACAAATTACACATTAAAAATCTATAGTAAGAAAGAAACTATAAAAGAATAAAAAAAACTTTTTAAATCTATAGTAGATATACAAAAGATGAGGAGGAAAAAAAAATCAAAGCATACCACTATAGAAAATCATCAAATCATAAAGGAAGACAGCAAGAGAGAAAGAAAGAGACGAAAGATCTTTAAAATGCCCAGGAAACAACAATATGGCAGTAAGTCCTTACTTATCAATAATTACTTTCAATGTAAATGGACTAAATTCTCCCATCAAAATACATAAAATAGCTGAATGGATAAAAAAATAAGACTCAACTACATGGAGCCTGCAAGAGAACTGCTTCAGCTGCAAAGACACACAGACTGAAAGTGAAGGGATGTAAAAGATAGTAAATGCACATGGAAAGGAAAAGAGCAGGGGTAGCTATACTCAGACAAAATAACCTTTAAGTCAAACACTGTAACAAGAGACAAAGAAGATCATTATACAATGGTAAAGGGGTCAATTCATCAAGGGAATCTAATGATTATAAACATTTATGCTCCCAATATCAGAGCATCTAAATATATAAAGCAAATATTAACATAATTGAGAGGAAGTAGCCAGCAATACAACAATAATAGGAGACTTTAATATCACATTTTCAACAATGGTCCAATCATCCAGAAAGGTAATCATCCAATAAAAGAAAAATTCGACTTGAACTATAATAGACATACACAGAACATTCCATTCAAAGCCACATGAAATATTTTTCAGGATATATCATATGTTAGGCCATAAAACAAGTCTTGACAAATTTAAGAAGACTGAGAACAAATCAAACATCTTTTGTGATAACAATGGTATAAAACTAGAAATCAATAAAAGAAGGAAAACTGGAAAATTCATAAACATATGGAAATTAAATAACATGCTCCTGAACAACCAGTGGGTCAAAGACAAAATCAAAAGGAAATTTTAAAATATCCTCAAACAACTGAAAATGAAAACACAACATACCAAAAATTATGGGATGCAGCAAAAGGAGTTCTAAGAGGGAAGTTTATCACAATAAAAGTCTATGTTAAGAAAAAGAAATGATCTCAAATAAACAACCTAGATTTACATCTTAAGGAACCAGAAAAAAAGAACAAACTAAGCTCAAACTAAGTCAACGAACTACACCCAAACTAAGTCCAAAGTTAGTAGTATGCATAACAGGAACACCAGAAGGATAGGATAGGAGAGAAAGAACAGAAAAAATATTTAAAGAAATAATGAAAGAAGACTTATCAAATTTATTGAAAGACAATAACCTACACATACAGGAAGCTCTAAGGACTTCAAATAGGATAAACCCAGAGATCCATAAATAGACACAATACATAAAAATGCTAAAAGTTAAAGGCAAGAAGTCTTGAAAGCATTTAGAGAAAAACAACTTGTCACTTACAGATATAAATCCAGTAAGATGTACTTTACAAAAAAATACTATAGGAATTTGTTTAAGCTGAAGAAAGTGACTCTAGATGGTAATCTGAACTCACACACACAAAAAAAGGAGCACCCGTAAAAGTAAAGATAACTATGTAAATACAAAACAAAATCAACCCCCTCAAAACCTACCAAACAGCGTATATCCATATTTTCTTCTTTCTTCACATAACTGATTTAAAAAGCAACCATATAAAATAATATGTATATGATATAATAGTGGGTTTGTGATATGCAAAAATGTAATGTATTTGCTGTAACAGAACAAAGCAGGTTGGAGGGAGCATAGATGGATTGGGTTAATAAAATGACTACAGACGGTAAAGTAATAACTATAACAATGTACAGTTGGGGATGCAACCTAAGGTTTCACTGACAGATGAATGGATAAAGAAAACATGGTAGATATACACAATAGAATATTACTCAGTCATAAAAAAGAATGAAATAATGCCATTAGCAACAATATAGATGGACATAGAGATTATCATACTAAATGAAGTAACTTAGACAAAGACAAATATCATATGATATTGCTTACATGTGGAATCTTTACTGCAAAAAGGAGGGGAAAGGCATACAGCTATATGAGAGTAACATTTCTATATATTACCAAAATTGAGTTAGTATAAATGTGAAGTTGACTCTGATATGTTAAGAGGTATACGACAAAATCCTTGAGCAGTCACTAAAAAGTAAGCCAAAAATTCAAAAAAAAAAACACTAAAAAAATTAAAACACTGCATTAGGAAATATTTATTGAATAATTTAATGCAAAAGAAAACAATAAAGTAGGAACAGTGAAACAAAATAGACATGAGACATATTGACAACTAAAAGTAGAATAGAAAAAATAAATCCCCCATACCAATAACAATATTAAATGTGAATGAAACAATCCAATCAAAAGACAAATTATTAGTGACTAAAAACAAGATCCAAGTATATGCTGTCTATCACTTTAAATTCAAAGATACAAATAAATGAAAAGTATAAGGATGGAAAAAGAGAAATCATGCAAACAGAAACCACAAGAAAGCTGCAGCAACTACGCTAATATCAAACAAAATAGACTTTAAAGCAAAAAAAATCTTGTTAGTGATAAAGAAGAACATTTCATAAAGATAAGAGAGTCAATCCATGAGGAAGATGTAATAATTATAAATATTCTGTACCTACTAACAGAGCACCAAAACACGTCAACCAACAACTGACAGAAATGAACAGAGAAATACACAACATATAACAGCAGGAAACTGCAATACCCACATTCAGCTATGGTAAAAAAAACTACACAGAAGATCAATAAGGAAACAGAAGACTTGAAACATAGTAAAAGCCAACTTGACCTAAGAGACCTACAGAACATTCTACCCAACAAAAAATATACATTTTTCTTATGTGGACAAGGAAAATTTTCCAGGATAGACAATATACTAGCCTATAAAACAAACCTTAATAAATTTAAAAAGACAAAAATTTAAAAAGTATGTTTTGCAACCAAACTAAAATGAAATTTGAAATCAAAAGCAGAGAAATAACTGGGAAACACAAATATGTAGAAATTGAACTAGGTCTCTTGATATTCCTTTCTTCAAAATCCCAAATAATTATACATATTTATTGTTTCTTTGATGTTTATCTCCCACCCCCACCCCCCTCTCAGAAAGCTCTCTGAAGGCAAGGAGTATATCCATGTTGATTACCACTGTACCTCTTTAACAGTGTATAGCATATAAGAGGAATTCAATATGTATTTGAGGAATGGCTGAGGGTTGAATAAATGATATGAGAATAGACAGCCATTCATTTATTTATTCATTCCACAAATACTTATTGAACACTTATTAAGTGCTAGATTCTAGGGATACAACAGCAAAGACAACAAAATTCTTGCCTCATGAAGCTCATCCTCTAGAGATTAAGATGACAATAAACAAATATACAATATTAATTAAGTGCTATGAAGAAAAGAAACTGAGTCTTTTTTCAGATAGAGTGGTCAGGTAAAAGTGATCATCTTTCTGAGATTGATCATATTTGAGCAGACATGTGAACATGCAGAAAATGAGTCATGAAATATTTGTAAAAAGAACATTCTAAGCAGAAGCAATAGTAGGTGAAAAGGGTCCAAGTCCAGAATAACATCTTCAATGCAGTGGGCTGAAGAGTGAGGAGTCTTGTGGGTCTGCAACACAGTAAGCAAAGGAGATGAGGTCAGAGAGCAGAGATGGCCATATAAGCCCTGGGAAGAACTTTGAATTTTATACTAAATATAATAGAAAGTCAATAGAGAGCAAAGGCAAAAGCCTGGTATGACTGACTTCGGTTCTAAAACAATTACTCTAGCTGCCATGTGAAGAATAAAACAACTGTAGGGAGGTGAGGCGAAACTACTCAGTTGTTCAGGTAGGAGATAAAAAACAAAACCTACCGAGGAGTTGGACTACAGAGGGAACAAGTAGAATTGAAAAGTGGCCATACAGTCTCAATGCATTTTAATGGTAGATGAATTAGATGAAAGGTGTAAGTGTCTAGAATTACTGCAAAATTTGAGGGCCTAGCTTAACTAGGTGAATAGAGGTTCTGTGTTCAGCCATGTGATCAGAATGGGAATGTGAAGTGAAGTGAAGTTGCTCAGTCGTGTCCTACTCTTTGCAACCCCATGGACTGTAGCCTACCAGGCTCCTCCGTCCATGAAATGTTCCAGGCAACAGTACTGGAGTGGGTTGCTATTTCCTTCTCCAGGGGATCTTCTCAACCCGGGGATCGAATCTGGGTCTCCTGCACTGTGGGCAGACATTTTACCATCTGAGCCACCAGGGAATGGACAGGAAAAGATATAGGGAGTATCACAAGTTCAGAATGGATGTTACAATGGAGATGCCTTCTAGACATTCAAATGGAGATGTGTAGAACATAGTTGGAAATATAAGTCTGCATGGAGGGGAAAGATTAAGGTTATTTCAGTTAATTCTGTAAA